CTTTGCGCCGTTATCTCCCTAACGAAAGAGGAGTCTATGAGAAATTATTGTGACTCTAATGACAATTAATTTATTAAATTAAAAGGATTAATTAACTATAAATTTAAAAAGGGAAGAGAATAAAAATAAATTTTATTTTTTTAAAAGAAGATGATGATAAAATAAAATTTTTTTAAATAATAAATTAGTAAAATATAGAGGTAAGAGTTGATATTTAGTGAAGTAAACAGAGAAAAATGCGTGTGCTAAATATATAAAAATATGAATATTTACTATTTTTATTGGAAAAATTAGGACAATGAAGGAAACGAAGGAAAAATATTTTTTTGTTGTGTAAAAAATATAATTGATAGATTTTTTATTTACTCTAATTAAATAAATAGATAATTGTGAATAATCAACAAAAAATATGTATTAACATAAGTAAATTTATTATTTATAAATAGGCTTTCCGGAAAAAAGTATAACTATAAAAAATATTTAGGTATATTCTTTAGGTTTTAATTTTCCGGAAGTCTTTTCCGGAAAAAGTATAACTATGAGAATATATGTGTATTCTTTAGGTTTTACTTTTCCGGAAGTCATTTCCGGAAAGAATTTACCGGACGAGGCATAAAATATAGAGAGTAATTAAATATAAATGTGTTTTCCGGAAATTTTCCGGAAAAATATAATTGTTACTAACATTATATGTATTGTTTCAATTTTCCGGAAAAAGTTTTTAGATAGTATATAAAACAGAGAGAGATTAGTGCAATAGTTATATTTATTTCCATAAATTTTCCGGAAATATAACTTGCAAGAAATTTAGCAGTCAATTAATTTTTTATATTTCCGGATTAGCATATAATCTTAAATTTTTTCCAGAAAAGTTTATTATTGATAAACAAGTATACTATAGACTGTGGATGTTTTAAAATAAATTTTGAAATTATTTGGTCAAAAAAAATTTTTTTGAAAATTAAATTTTATATCTAATGTATTTTTACTCGATTAACTTGCCCACTCATTTATTTGTTTTACCCCACCCTGGAGGGTTTAATAAATCAAGGAGGCTAATAAATCGAATAATTCAGTTGAAAAATAATTTAAAAATATCCTTAAAATATTTTTGTTTACTACAAAATGAAACAGAAAAAAAAATTTTTTTAAGTCATAAGTTTTAATCTTCACAAAATTGTTTTTGTGTCTTTCCCAACCAATCAAAGAAGCATATATTCAATCTTAAAATTAATCAAATAAAAGGGAAGAATTTTTGTTTTCCGGAAAGTTTTAACTAAGAGAGGAAGAGAAAATGAATAAATTTTGAATAAAAGAGAAGAAGCGACTTATGTTTTAATAAAATAAGAATAAATATATAAAACAGCCGAGGTCTGTTGAGGGATTTTAAAAAGCTCCCCTTTTTTCCCATTTCTAGTGATTGATTGTTGAGAAAGTAAAGGAAGGGAAGAAAATATTTTTATTAAATTTTTTTCTTCTTTTATTTTAAAGCCCGCAGCAGTAAAAAGAAAAAGAGACTGATCATCATTAGGCAAATCATTAAAAGCCAAGAAAATAAAAATATTTTTTTTTACCATAATGTATAAAATATAAGTAAGGAAAAGATGAATAAAATAAAATATAATTTTTTATATTCTTCCAAGGCAGCTGTCACTGAAAAAGTAAGGGAGAAAGAGAGAGGCGCATAGAAGTAAACTAGAGGAATTCTCGCATAAATATGCCTGACATTTTTTTTATTTTTATTTACTTTAAACTCTAATTTTCCGGAAAAAGATTATATAAATTTATTTATACACAAAATATTCAAGACAAAGTGAAAAAGTAAAGGAAAAAATTAATTAAGGAGGAGGGAAAGAGAGATAATTTTTTTAATGAATTAGTGTGGGGACAAAGGAGGGGAAGGGGAGGGGGGGGGGGAAGATGATGAGTAAATTGGTAAATTGGGGTAAATTAATTTGAGTTTGTGTTATCTTTATATGTAAATATTTTCAAATTTATTTTTACTTTATAGTGAGGAAGGAAGAAAAAATTAATTTTTAAGGTCCATCAAAAAATTTTTTATTCTTGTACGCTTTATAAAGGGGAGGAAGACCACAAAAATATTTTTACATCCGTGTAGGAATTCTATTTTTAAGTATATTAGATACAGACATCTGTCATCTCTAGTATCATCCTTAGGACCAGATTTAGTTGAGATACGAAAGGGACATATTAGGAAGTAGTCGCACCTATCTAATATAAGTATCATCCACTGGGACCAAGTTTAGCTAACATGAAGTAAAATGACATTGGAAGGTAATGCCATACCTGTGGGAAATATAAGGTTGGCGGATAGTTGGAAGGCGAATATCCGGATCCGGTATCCGAACCAAAAATTTCGCATATCCGGCCTTTTATCGCATACTGATATCCGGATCCGCCACCCTTAGTGGGGAATGCCATGCTTGGAAACATTTGCCATACCAGAATTTTGTCTTAAAAATTGTGGATTATCCCCTCTTTTTTCTGTTCTACTCCGTTAGACTTGAAAATAAAAATAGGAAAAATTAAATAAAAAAAAAGTATTAATTGGGTATAAAAAATAAAGCTTGTGTGTATAATTAATTTGGTAGAATTTGTGTCCATTTTATATCTCTCAAATCAAATTTAAAAATTGATTAAACAAAAAAATGAAATTTGAAGCATCCTCTCTCGATCTTAAGAAAAAATGTTGTGTCTTTCTCTCTTTTTTCTTTTGAAATAAATATATTTGACTGAAAGTATTTAAATTTGTGGCCAAGAAGAGTGTATAGAAAAAGAGAGAAAAAGCCAGAATAAATTTTAAATAAAACGATTTGCTTAGAAAATTGGAGGGAAAAGTGTGAGTGAGAGAGTGGGAGAGATAGGGGAAAAACTTGATTTTAAGAGAAGAAAATTTATTTATAAAATAAAATTCTTTGTGTATAGGATTAAAAATATTTTCTTTTTTTTTCCAATGCAAAAGTAAAGTGTATGGATTGGAAATTTTTTTTGATAAAGAAAAGTTGGAAGAAAAGTTAATAAAGAAATGTGTATATTTGACTGCTGTCTATAAGAATTTTACTTTGTGTTTTCCGGAAATAATTTTTTCCGGAAATTATTTTATTTTCCTATAATGGATGTATTTTCCGGAAATCCTTATATTTTATCTTTTCCGGAAATGACATGCCGGAAATAGTACTTGCCGGAAATAGTAAAATAGTTACATATTTTCCGGAAAATGTTATATTTTTGTTTTCCGGAAACATTCATATTATAAAAACGACAAGGAGTAGTTTTACTATTTTCCGGATTGTATTATTCTCTAGAAAACTAATATTTATTTGTAATATACTAATACCTTCCGGATTAGAATTTCTTGCTTAATATCTAGTAGAATATATTCTGATTTGGTGCCTACCGATTAAGATTGTAAACCGTGAAGTTGCGCATGACTATTATTTTTTTGGGAAGACTCAATTTTCTTTTCAGTTGTATTTAAATTACTCATATTTCGTAATAAAATTCTTGATCACTCATTCTCATTTTCTTATCGAATTTAAATATCTATTTTTTTCCTTTTTTTCTCCATCTTAGGCCTAAAAGTAAATATATAAACATACAAACAGCGTCCCCTCACAATTCTTTAAATATTTAAAAAATTCTAATGTGTTGAAAAATTCAAAACAACAAAAAAAAACTCGTTTTTGGGGGCCTCAAATTGAAGAAGAAAAATTAAAAAAAGGGAGAAAGGAATACTTTTTAAAATTATTCATTCATTCCTTTGCCTATTTTAGAGAGAATTTTTGTTTTATTTTGTATATTTTCTTGTCAAAAAATTTAGAGAATGAACGAAAAAAATTTAAATTTTTGTGGAAATTATAAAAAGGGGAAGAGATTACGATAAAAATTAATTTTTTTAAAGAAAATTTGGATAAAATAGGGAAATTTGAAAAATCAAGGTTATCGGTTAGTTGTCTAGTAGTGTTATCCAAATTTGAATATTACAAATTGTGTTTCTTTTTTAATATTATTGTCAATACATAAAGGTTTCTGGAAAAATACCTAAATTATTATAATAGACTAACAAATATGTTTAATTCCGGAAATCTTTATATATTCCGGAAAAATACAAAATTAATTCCGGAAATACCTATATAAATTAAAGTAGTATTTTTCAATATAGAATCCGGAAACCTTCCGGAAAATACATCATTATTATTAATAATGTATTACTTGACTGCTGTCTATAAGAATCTTTATATTCCGAAAAAATATACAAGTATGATTCTGGAAAATACAAAATTAATATATTTTATACAAAATAGAATCCGGAAACCTTCCGGAAAAATAAATTATAATTCTATTCCTACAATAGAATTGTTGATCCGGAAAATAATACTATTACTACAATCCGGAAAAATTAAGAAACTAGTTACTGACAAAGAATCGAATCGAACCTCTATACAAATAAATAATTAAGATTACACCACTTAACCGTGGAATTAATTTTTAATAATTTTTTAAATTTTATTTTAGATTGACAAAAATATAAAGAATTATAATTTATAATTTTTAACAACTTTAAGAAGAAAAATTTACATTTTTTTTAAATATTCAAACTAGTACATAATAATTAAAAAAGGCTGGGAATGAGGAAGTTTTATTTAAATATGCGCAAAGGATTTTTTAAGAGTTTGGTTAATGCATTAAAAATAAAAAAAAGATATTTTTAATGAATTAAACTGATAAGCATTAAAAGAAAATAAACAAAAAATTTAAATTAAAAAAATAAAATTATGAATATAAAAAAGCAGACAAATTTGTGAGGCAAAAATTTAAAAAAAAACAGGAAAAAAATTAAAAAAAAAATAAATTAATTTAAAAAAAGGAATGAAATCATTTCAAAAATGATTTAGAGAAAATTTAAAAAAATATATTTTTTTAAAAATTAATAACAAGTAGAGCCTCATTTTTATGTATTGGTATACCCTTATTGGACTTTGGCGACTGGTTATTAGCCAGTCCGGGTTTTCAATTATTATTTTGGACACCCGCTTTTTGGTTCCGGTTCGGTTAATTGGCTGCCAACAACCCTAATATTTGTACTTTATTTTAATTTAATTGCCCAAAGAGTGGAGGGAGATTTGACTAAAATTATGCCGAGGGGATATTTAAGAATGAATTTAGACTGTATTTTAAACTTCTCCTTTTACACTACTCCGATGTCCAAGAATTTTAAATGTTCTGTTTCTGCATCACAAACAATTTTATTTTTTATTCATTTTTCACAATTTTCCATCATTAATTTTTACCTCATTTTCGTTTAAATTTGTGTAGATAAAGGGGAAGAAAGGGAAGGAAGGAATTGTTTTGTAAGAAAAAATAGAGGAGAAAAAAAGGAAGAACTCTCATTATTATATTTTTTTGAATATTTGAGCGCCAATTTTTAAATTTTTGGACAGATCAATTTTTAAGTTTGAATAATAGAGAAATTAAACAAAATTCTTAAATTAAAAAAAAATAAAATGGAAATACTACAAAATGAGTAAAAATTGCTGTTGCCCATAGAAATAGGTATCTCGAAAAATCTCGACCTCGTCTCGATTGGTACCCCTAACGTACCGCAAGCTCAAAGTACCGCAGAGCTATAACTTTGTTCAAAATAGTAGAATCCGTGACGCCCTGATATGGTTCGGTTCATCTCGTTGAGATGCATTGAACCATACCAAAGAGTCCCGGATTCAACCATTTTGAACAAAGTTATAGCTCCGCGGTACGTTGGCCTTCCGGTAGTACGTTGGCCAACTCCCGTTTCGGTCGGGTCTCTTTGATTCGGATTTGGGCAATAATTCCCATCAGAAAAAATTTTTTTCTAAGCGTGACCTGTAAAAATGCGTGACCATTTGTAAAAAAGGGGATGATTTTGTATTTATTCAATCAAATATATCCGGTTTTGTTAAAAATAAAAGAGAAAGCGCAGAAATAAAAATAGGCAAAAATGGCGTGTGAAATAAACAGAGACTTACTTGGAAGCTAAAAAAATAAAAAGAAAATAAAAATGGAGGGGGAGAATTTTAAAAGTAAAAATAAATAAATATAATGCTATTTATGCAAATATATGCAAATATTTTTAAAAAGCTAGAGGCGAAAAAATTGTAGGGCTAGAATTATACGACTAGGTGGTATTTTTATATTTTTAGTGTGTTTGTATGTGTGTAATTGCGTGAAAACCAAAGGAGAAAATAAGCAAAAAAAATATTTAAAATTAAAAAGAAGGGTAGAAAAAAATTCAAAATAGGTCCCTTCAAAATTTTTCAAGTTTTTGAAATTTCGGGAGGTATTGATCACACACAGTTTATTTCTGATAGAGAGTTAAGAAAGAGAAAACTAAGAAAAAAGGGGGGAAAGAAGTTTGACAAACAATGAATGATGAAAGGGTTCGTTTTAATCAAGTACTTCAAAATATAAATCAGGGAATTTGGAGTGTTATAAACGTAGTTGACACAGAAATTCGAAGGAAATTCGAAGGAAGTTCGAAGGTGTAAATCAGGAAATTTAGAGATAAATAGTTTGAAGGAGATAGACTAAGGATCACTCAACTTGGAAGGATTCTCAGTCTTATGGTAAAGCTGCAGTCTGAGGTTTTTATAATCGGGGATAACACCGGCCAGAACCCCGAAAGCGGGATATTTATCTTTTTATGTCGGCGCGAACACTGGGTATTTAAATAGGTCCCTTCCTTCTCCAAAGGAAGGGACTTCTTTAGGGACCTCTTTAAACCCTTCCTCTTTAACCCTTCCTTAAACCCTCCTTTTTAACCCTTACTTGGATCCTTCCTCCTCCAAAGAGATTTTCATGTGATTCTGCAACTTAGAGAAATTTTTTTTATTTTTTAATTAAATAATCTCAAAGTTTCTAGTGTATTAATAAACAAGAAAATAAAAGATGCGTTTTTCTATTTTTTGTCCATAAACAAATTTTTTTTTGAAGAAAAAAATTGGAGAAAAAAGGACTCAATGAAAAATAAGCAAAATATAAAAATGGGGGAAAAAGATGCCAAAAACGGGCTTCTTTTTAAAAATAAAGGAGAGAAAGAAAAGAGAAAAAAATTTGAATGTGGCCTTTGCTTTGGTCTTTTTTCTACTAGAAAAAAATAAAAAATTTTTTTGAAAAAAATAGTGTAGTGGGGCGGCTGGCGCTTCCCTTCCCCCCACCAATTTATCTAGTCAAAAAACCCTTCCTCCTCCCAATTCCTTCTATTCCCCCCTCCCCCCCCCTTTTTTTTGGTCGCTACCGCCCCTCTAGGCGCGGTAGCAGCTATTTATTCTCCTCATTCATCTTTTCTCTCTCAGCCATCTTCTGGAAAATAAAATGGCAGCGATTGAGTAAAGGCAGATGAATTACAAGAAAAAAATGTAAATTTATATGTATTTTTATGTAAAAAAATTTTGAAAAAAGACAAGAGAGAGGAAGGGAGGAATTGTTATTTTGTTGTTTAATATAAAAAAAAATTCTGATTTTTCTGATTTGTAGAACTTGTAAAACTTAAATTCTGATTTGCTATTATTTGTAGATTATAATTCTGATTTTCAATAAAATCAGAATTAAGAAACTTGAAACAACAATAAAATAAACTTGGAAAAACAAACTTGGTTATAATTCTGATTTTTAATAAAATCAGAATTATTTTAACAAACTTGGAATAACAATGAAATAATTAAACTTGAAATAATTGCAAGTTTATAAACTTGATTAAAGACTTAAGTTTTAAACTTAAGTTTTAAAATTAATTTAAATAAACTTGGAAACATACAAACTTGAAATAAATATATAAAAACTTTAAGTTGCAAACATGAAAATAAACTTGAAACAACTTATTAATAAACTTGATTATAAACTTAAATTTTAAATTTAAATAAACTTGGAATATACAAACTCGAAACAAATATAAAAACTTTAAGTTTGCAAACTTGAAATAAGCTTGTTAATAAACTTGATTAATAAAATATAAGCATTTAAAATAAATTTCAAGTTTACAAACTTGAATATAAATAAACTTAAGTGTGTCTATTTTCTCTCTTACTTTCTTTTATTCTCTCATTAATTATGCAATTATATTAAGAGTATTTAAGGGGCAATATTTTATTTTTAAAGACTAAATGTAAAAATTTAGAAAATGTTAATTCTTTTTCAAGTGTGTACATTCTTTTCAAAAATTATTCAAAAATATTTGTATAAAAATTTATTTATTTATTTATTTTTCTAGGACCGCCTTTTTTATTTATTATTTAATTTATCATCCATTAAAAAATATTTTTTAATTTAAGCATCAGAAATCTCTTTCCTTTTCTTCTATTTTATCCTCTTTTTAGCTTCTTCACATATTTAAGCACTTAATTCCTTCCCCACTCCCCCACTCTTTATCCAACAAAACCTCTTAAAAATAACAAAAAGGGAAAGAAAAATGATGTGTTTCTGCTATTTTTAAATAAAATAATAATAAAATTAATTGTAAAATTCTTTTAAAAAAATTTAACATTTACATCACTTTTTTGATCGGTTATACAAAAATAAATTTTTCTATGACTATATTTTTATAATCTTTTGGACAATACTCTAATGTACTCAAAAATATGTTTATTTTTCGAGTTTAATTTCTGGTTTTATTTATTTTTACAAATTCTGGGGCGGTATGCAAAAAAGCGGGTAGGGGTTAACCAACCCTCAGCTGCGGGTAGGTTAACCCAGAACCCTTATGCAAAAATGGAGGTAGGGGTAACCCGCAGCTGTGGGTTAGTTACCCGGGTAATAGAACCCGCAGCTGCGGGTATGGTTCTAACCCTTATTCAAAAATGAGGGTTGCAGGTAATAGAACCCGCAGCTGCGGGTAAGATTTTAACCCTGCTCCGATGAGGGTTAAAATCTTACCTGCATCTCTTTAAAAATTTTTTAAAAATCCAAACTCAATCGAAAAATTACAAATTAAATATTTTTAGATAGATTAGAGTGTGCTCTATTTTTTGATATAATTTTTAAAAATTTTTGTTGAAAAATAAATTTACTATAAATTTTCGCGTAAAGTACCCCATTTTTGAGCAAAAAAGGGACTCATTCTCTCCAATAGGCAGCTGCGGGTAAGCATCGGGTTCTGGGTTGATTTTTTTTGAATAAGGGTTAACCCTCAACTGAGAGTTCTATTACCCGAGTAATAGAACCTGCTAGACTTACCAGGTTCTCCAACCCGCTTTTTTGCATACCGCCCCTGATTTATTTTCAAGTTTATTAATTTCTGATTTTATTTATTTAATTATTTCAAGTTTATTTTCTGGTTTATTCTCTTTCTATACGTTCAAGTTTATTGTAAAGTTTATTTTTAGTTTTTTAAGTTTCTGATTTTATTTTTAAGTTTCTGGTTTATTTATTTTTTATTAAATTCTGATTTTATTTTCAAGTTTATTAAGTTCTGATTTTTATATTATTAAAAGTCTTATTTAATATTTACTTGGATAAACTTAATTTGTAATTGTGTTCCAAGAGAATACATTTTACCAACGAAAATTTTATTTAATTTAGAAAAAAATTTTTAGAAAAAAATCCGAAAATAGTTATATTAGCAATTTAAATGTCAATTAATTCGTTTTTTAATTTTTTAATTTTTTTCATCAATTTATTTCGATTGAAGACTTGAAGTTGAATGTGTAAATGATGTAGCCATCAAAGTTTGAGCCTTAAAAAATTTTTTTTTAATTTTTAAAAATTCTAAAAATTGTTAATTTACCATAGTTCTCGGTGAAATACTCAATCCACTACTTCCAACAATTCTAGGCCCAATTCTCGATCTTCTACGTCCACCCCCACCACTAGCCAAAGACGTAATTGAATCTCTTCCATCATTTAAATTTTTATTGTTATTCTCTTCTTCTCCCTCCTCTACTCCAATATTAGCCGAAGTTGTTGGATCACCTCCAATAATAATATCCCCTCCATTATTATTTCCATTCCCCCCACCGCCAATCATTTGACGTTGAACTAGTGAACGATAAATGCCTTCCTTTAAAAGAATTGTTTGTAAAAAAATTAAAAAATTTTTTCTGTGCCTGTGATAACAATTGTTCATGTGTCCCCATTTGTTCTACTTGCCCTTTTATTATTACAACTATTTTATCTGCTTTTTCTACAGTTGAAAGTCGGTGAGCAATTAATATAACTGAACGCCCTTTCATATTTTTATATATTGCTTCTTGTACTAAATGTTCTGATTCTGTGTCCTTTAAAATTAATTAATTCTGGTTTTATAAGTTTGTGATTTATTTTCAAGTTTGTATTTAATTCTGATTTAATTAATTCTGATTTAATTAATTCTGATTTAATTTCTGAGTTATTTCCAAGTTTATTTTCTGGTTTTATTTCCAAGTTTATTTATTTCTGAATTATTTTTTCTGGTTTATTTTCTGAGTTATTTTTCAAGTTTATTAATTAATTCTGATTTTATGTTAATTCTGATTTAATTTCTGAGTTATTTCCAAGTTTATTTTCTGGTTTTATTTCCAAGTTTATTTATTTCTGAATTATTTTTTCTGGTTTATTTTCTGAGTTATTTTTCAAGTTTATTAATTAATTCTGATTTTATGTTAATTCTTATTTAATTTCTGAGTTATTTCCAAGTTATTTTTCTTGTTATTTCTAAGTTTATTTATTATAAGGTTTATTTCAAGTTTATTTTCTGATTTATTTTAATGATTATTTAATTCTGATTTATTGTCAAGTTTATTTTATTTCTTTAAGTTTCTGATTTTTAAATTCTGATTATTTCAAGTTTATAAAATTAACCAAAGCAGACGTAGCTTCATCAAGTAAAAGTATTGCCGGTTTTCTAACTATAGCTCTTGCAATAGCTATGCGTTGTTTTTGTCCTCCTTTGAATTTTTAAATTTTTTTTTGAAATTAATATTTTATTTTTTTATTTATTTTACCGCTCATTTGACTTCCTTTTTCTCCAACATTTGTTTGATATTGTTCCCGTGTTTGTATAATAAAAGAATGGGCATTAGCCATTTTAGCTGCTTCAACAACATCTACAGTTGTACATTTATCTAAACCATAGGCTACGTTTTCTGATATTGAACGAGCAAAGAGTACAGGTTCTTGGCCAACCAATGCTATCTTTTTTGTTTAAATTATAAAGTTTATTTTCTGATTTTTATTTTTAAGTTTATTAATCAATTCTGGTTTATTTACAAGTTTCTGATGTTTATTTTTAAGTTTATTAATTAATTCTGATTTATTCTTAAGTCTCTGGTTTTGGGGTTATTTTGCAAGTTTATCACTTAATTCTGATTTTTTAATGGTTTATTGCTAAGTTTATTTCCAAGCTTATTTTCTGATTTTTTTTATAAATTTCCACCTTTTCATGTATATAATGATGTTCATAATCACAAACAGGAATTCCATCAATTAATACTTTACCTCCATTTGGAGAATAAAAATTTTCAAGTAAAGCAATACATGAACTTTTTCCACTTCCACTAGGCCCTACAAGTGCAACAACTTCTCCAGGCTCTACAGAAAATGAAAGGCCCTAAATAAATAAAATTATTTAATTCTGGTTTATTTTCAAGTTTAGTCTTAAGTTTATTAATTCTGATTTATTTTATCAAGTTTATTAAATTAATTCTGATTTTTCTTTTCAAGTTTATTAATTAATTCTGATTTATTTTCAAGTTTAGTCTTAAGTTTATTAATTCTGATTTTGTAATATTTTTCAGGCTTATTTTAATTCTGATTTTATTTCTGATTTATTCTTTTCAAGTTTATTAATTAATTCTGGTTTATTTTCCAGTTTAGTCTTAAGTTTATTAATTCTGATTCTGTTATTTTTCATTTTTAATTCTGATTTTATTTCTGATTTATTTACTTAATTAATTCTGATTTATATTTTTGTTTCAGAATTTTTTCTAAACTTTTTTGCTTCAAGTTTTAAAAATAATAGAATTTTTTACCCTCAAAACTTCATTGTCAGGCCTTGTAGGATAAGCAAAATGGACTCCTTGGAATTCTATTTTGCCTTCTAAACGTTCAGGCATACACTCCCCACTTGTATATATTTCTGGTTTTCTGTCGATATATTCAAATACTTTACGTGAAGCACCAACACTTTGCATTAGGCCTGTCCAGACCTTTAAAAAATTTTCAAAAAATTTTTTGAAAATTTTCAAAAAATTTTTCTAAAAATTTTTTTCTAACCTCTCCAAGTTGTCTAATATTATCTGCTAATTGCATTTGATATAAAAGAAAAGAAACAAGCAAATCTTTTGTTAATTGCCCTGAAAGTACCAAATGTCCGCCATACCAGAGGACAGAAACATTAATTATTGTTTGGAAAAGCTGTTTAGAAAATTTTTTGTTAAAATTATTTTTGTTAGAATCTCACCTCGGAAACCCAAAGATAAATAACATAAGCAAAAGACTTTCGTTTTGTAACACCCAAAGTATTGGTTAATTTGTCATAAAAACGTTCAGCCTCGTAATCTTCACAAGCAAAGCTTCTAACAGTCCTCATTGTTGAAATAACTTCTTCAGCAACATCGTTAGAATGGGCAATGGCTTCTTGGGCTCTTTCGCTGAGAAACTGAGGGAGGGGGAAATTTTTGAAAATATTTTTTTAATTTTTGAAAAATAAACAAGAACAAACATCATAATAAACACCAAAAATTTTGGAAGCAACCAAAATAATCGGAACAACAATAAACGGAATTAAAGACAATCGCCAACTTAAAGTCATCATAAAAAGCATGGAGCCCCCCATTTGAACAGTATTGCGAAGAAAAACTTGAGAAATTTTAAAGTTTAATTAATTAGATAGTTAAACTGACTGTTAACGTTTAGAGAGACTGTGTCTGACCTGAGAGGAGAAAAAAGTTTATTTTTAGAGAAAATCAGAAAAAGTTTTAGTATTTTAATAAAGACCAGAATTTTTTAAATAAAAATCAGAAAAAGTTTATTTTTAAAGAAAATCAGAATTTAAGTAAAAATCAGAATTTAAGTGAAAATCAGAATTTAACTAAAAATCAGAATTTAAGTGAAAATCAGAAAAAGTTTTAAAAATCAGAATATTTATTAATTTAAAAATCAGAATTAAAAAAGTTTATTTTTAGAGCGATCAGAAAATGTTTGTTTTTAGAGAAATCAGAAAAGGTTTATTTTAGTAAAAGCCAGAATAGGTTTATTTTTCTAAAATATCAGAATTTGTTTCAAGTTTCAGAAAAAGTTTTATTATTTAAACAAAAATCAGAAAAAGTTTTATTTTAAGAGAAAAATATAGGAGAAAATACAGTATACAATATAAATATTTACATTGTTGTAGTATCTGCAGTTAATCGTGAAGTTATTTCACCTGCAAATTTTTTTTTTAATTTTTCAAAAAATTTTTTTCCCAAAAAATTTAATTTTGCCTGTTTTGTGTCTATCAAAAAATGCAATTTCTTGATGTATTAAAGAAGAAAATAAATTATGTCTAACAGCTCTATTAACTCTAGCGTAGGCATACTCAAATGACCCTCCACGAAAACCGCCTGCTACTGCGCTAGAAAAAATTTTTTTTTAAATATTTTTTAACAATTATTTCCTTACCAAACAATCGAAATAAAAAGCATTAGTTTAACAGAATCAACTAGAGCGGCATATTTATCCCCAGTACTTGACACAACGCTGGCGATTACTTGTCCAGTATAGTATGGAACGAAGATACGAGCTGAGGGAAAATTTTGAAAATTAAATTAAAAATTCTCTTAGGAGTTTAAAATGTCCAAGCATCAAAACGTCAAAAAAATTAAAAACGGTCATATCTCAAAATGTCAAAAAAATTCAAAACGGTCAGATTTCAAAACGGTCAAATTTCCAAAATGCCCAACTTTCAAAATGTCCAAACATTAAAAATGGTCACAAATTTAAAAATAGAATATGTAATTGACTCACTCAAAGAATAAATAAAAAGCCAAGTAAATCCACTAATATGCCAAAGCCATTCATTTTTGCAATATTGAAGTAAACGAATAACTATAGGGGTTAATTAAATATAATTAATTAAATTATTTATAAAATTCAACTAATTATATGTGTTTTCATGTCAGCAGAAATCCTTCCTTCCTGTGTTGTTTTTTGTTGTTCTTCATCAGAATTTTCATCTTCTTCCTCCTCCTCTTCCTCCAAACGTTGATAAATATTTTCAATTCTTTTGGCAGCCCTTAAAAATCCCAGCCAAATTCTATGGGCCAAAACAGAAAAGAAAACATTGGAAATTAATAAAATTATATCCCCAATATATAAATTGCCGGGATGTTGAGTGCCTGTATTGTCGCTTAATCCAAGAAATTTTGCTGGAGTAAAAGAAATGAGAATTATACAAAGCGCAAATGACGCGTGGGCTAAATGTCCAAGGGGACGAGAAGGCTGGAAAAAAAGTTTGTTTTAATTCAAGTTTATTTTGGATGTTTTAAGAGCATGTTTTTACAAACAAGTTTATTTAAAACATGCTTAATTAAAACAAGTTTGTTTTCAAACAAGTTTGTTTTTAAACAAGTTTATTTTCTACTTGCAAACAAGTTTAGCTCAAACATGTTTAGTTCAAACAAGTTTGTCTATATAAACAAGTTTATTAAAATAAGTATCTAAAATCAGAATTATACTCCCTTTCAAGTTCAATCTTAAAAAGATCAGAATTAATATAAGTAATTATCAAGCTTAAGCTTGTGTAAATTCAGAATTAAACTTTGTTTTAAACAAGTATAATTAAAATCAGAATTATTTCGCTTTCAAGTTCAAACTTAAAGAGAACAGAAAGGATTATATAATTTTCAAGTTCAATCTTGTAAAACCAGAATTAATATATTAGCTTTAAACAAACCTTTCTCTTAAAAATCAGAATAAAACAACCAACAAACAAAAATACCATTCTTAGTAAAGAGATCATAAAAAAATCAGAAACAGATTTATTAAATTTATAAGGCATTGCAAAATCATCGCGGAAATGTTGATAGGAAAATGAAGTTCCATTAAAACAAATTCCAATAAAGGAAAATAAAATATCAAACGTTGAAGAAGCTAATGTTCGGAGAATGCAATGGATTTGATTTCGTTTAACCATTTTTGAAAGTTTATTTTGATAATTGTTCAGCTTTTATTGAATCATTTTTTAATGTTTGCCTTAAAACAGAATTAATGCTTAACAATATTTCTGATCTGATTTTATATTAAGTTAAAACTACAATAAGAAATCAGAATTATTTTCAAACTTGAAATTTAAAAAAAAAGTTTAAGTAAACAAGTTTATTTAAAAACAGAATTATGCTTTTCAAGTTCAAACTTAAAAATATCAGAATTATATATTTGTCAAGTTTAATCTTGTAAAAAATCAGAATTTGTATAAAATCAGAATTTATATAAAATCAGAATTTATATAGAATCAGAATTTATATAAAATCAGAATTTATATAAAATCAGAAAAAACATTCAAGTCAAACTTGAAAAAGACCAGAATTAAAGTTAAGTTCAATCTTGAAAAATCAGAATTAGTATATATTCAAGCTTAATCTTGTAAAAAATCAGAATTAAAGAAACTAAAAAGGACCAGAATTAATTTTAAGTTCAATCTTGAAAAATCAGAATTAGTATATTTTTCAAGTTTATATACCAGAATTAATGTATATTGATAAAGTTCAAGCAAATAAAAAAATCAGAATAATGTATGTTTTTAAGTTTAAACTTAAATTCTAGTTTGTAAACTTAAACGAAGAGGATATTAAAAATTATATTTATGTCTCATCAAAAAATATATATGTATAAGCTGAGGCCAAAAAATAAATGTTTAGTTTTCATGTGCTTGCTTCTTATCAAAAAGGGTAACATAAAATTTTAATGGTTCGGAATGCCAAAATTATATATGTTGTTGATAAGAGGGCAGCGCCACTTTACTATCTAAATATATAGACCAAAAAAGAGAGACATGCAAAATCAATGTGGGAAATAAATTTGAAAATGTTTTATCAAGGGTAGTAAATATTTGATAAAATTACCCAACAGATCAACATTTTTTATTCAAAAATTTTAAAAAATACAAGAGAAGATAAATTTTTAGATTAAAAAATTAATAAATTAAATGAGTATTATTTATTGAGAGGATTTTAAATTATTTTAAAAAAAAGAGGTTGGTTATATCAGAAACAAAAAATATTTTTTAAATAAGAGATGATTAATTTTTACTTCAAAAAATTCAATTAAAAGCTCAATTCATATAGAGATGCCTTTTTCTCCCCCGACCCAGTTAAAAGAAAACGATCATCTTCAGAAATGTCACAACTTAGAATGGAACTCGATTCCTTGGTTTTTACAAGCTTGTAGCCGTAAGGTGAACGCCAACAATTTACAACGTTGTCCTTTCCAGCAGAAACAAACCACTAAAAATAAAAAAGTTTTTATTCTGTGTTGTAAAACATGTTTTTAAAGAGTTCTGATTTATAGATACATGTTTTTAGGTTGTTATTCTGATTTGTAAAAACATTTTTATTTTAAAACATTCTGATTTGTAACCACTAAAAAATAAACTTATTCTGGTTTGTAAAACATGTTTTTAAATAAGTTCTGATTTGTACAAACATTTTTATAAAATACTGTTTTGTAAAAACATTTTCTTTTAAATATTCCGATTTATAAACATGTTTTTAAAGAATTCTGATTTGTTAAAACATGTTTTTAGATTGTATTCTGATTTGTAAAAACATTTTTATTTTAAAACATTCTGATTTGTAACCACTAAAAAATAAACTTATTCTGGTTTGTAAAACATGTTTTTAAATAAGTTCTGATTTGTACAAACATTTTTATAAAATACTGTTTTGTAAAAACATTTTCTTTTAAATATTCCGATTTATAAACATGTTTTTAAAGAATTCTGATTTGTTAAAACATGTTTTTAGATTGTATTCTGATTTGTAAAAACATTTTTATTTTAAAACATTCTGGTTTGTAAAACATGTTTTTAAATAAATTCTGCTGATATTTTCTAAAACATTTAACTGTTCTTTGTAAAAACATTGTTTTTATTAAGTTCTGATTTGTAAAAACATTCTTAAATGTTTTTAAAAACATGTTGATTGTGAGTTCAGAAAAACATTGCTAACAGAATAAAAAATTGTAAAACTTGCCTTCCCACTGTTCGCAAACTTCATGGACAAAACACAACTTTTATGATCATTAAGTAAATACTTTTCACCCATTGTTGTGCTGTTTAGTACCTAAATTGTTAGGTTTATTTTTATGTATTCAAGTTGTACAACCTGAACATTGTTGTCTTCCAACCCAACAGCAACCCAATTATCAGTTGGACAACAACCAAGTGAGAAAACCTTTAAAAAGGTCAAAAAATCTTCAAAAATCTACACAAGAAATTTACTTGACTTTCAATTGTTCGGCATGAGAACTGTTTTCTACCAGCAATATCCCAACACCTAACAGTATTGTCCAACCCTCCAGTCCACAATTTCTGTCCATCACCACTTATATCAACACAACTAGCCCCATCAGAATGTCCAATTAATTGAACAATTCTTTCACCAGATGTCAAATCCCAAACATTCACAACACCATTAGAACAACAAGAAAACAAAGTTTTACAATCTTGAGAAATAGCTAAAGCATAACAAGCTTCTGCTTCACAATCAAATGTTTGTTTTATTTCCCCTCCTCTTTCAACATCCAATATACAAATTGTTTTTGTTTCCCCTCCAACAATTAAAGTTGATCCATCAGAAAATAATTTACAAGAACGAATATAGCTATCTTTTAGGTACTTTAAAAAATTAAATAAAATTATTTAGAGGGTAGATATAGAGCTATTCTGGGTATGGCTTCGTAAGTTAGCTCCCGGAGCCAAAATTTGAAAAAGGAAGGAGCTAGAGCAGTAGCCATAAAGTGCCCCATACACAGCACTGGTGACTATAAGATACCCACATTTCTGGATAAACCTCTATTTAAGAGACGAGTTTTTAAAAGTTGTTGGCCACTAAGGTAAGAGAAAGGTGCCTATCAGGACTGGTCGAAATCTAAAAATAAAAAGCAAAATGCGAAACACGAAATTAGCCCAGCCCTGGTGCATATCGGGATCGTGTCGAAACTGATTTACAAAGGGGGAATTAGACGAAAACCAAAATTGGTACACCACTGCTGCTTATGCCATATTATACTCATATTTAGATTCCCCTCGTTATAAGAGATAATCTTCCATCCTTATGGGGGGGGAGGGGCGGGGGGGGGGGGGGGGGGGTATCTTGTAGAGCTGTCCGAGACTCTTGGTCTTGGTCTTGGAACCAAGACTTTTCTTGGTTTTTTTTCGGTCTTGGTCTTGGTCTTGGTCTTGGGGTGTTTGTCTTGGTCTTGTCTTGGTTTTATTTTTTGGTCTTGGTTTTTTGGCCTTTTTGGACCTAGTGCTTGGCCATCCAAAATCCTAAAAATTTTCGCCTGCGGCGCAGAAAATGGAAGAAATCTGGCTTCTTGAGTCCCAAAATTCAAAAAATTTTCGCCTGCGGCGCTGAAAAAGTGAATTTTTATGGCATACGGCCTTCCAAAATTCTCAAAATTTTTGCCTGCGGCGCAGGAAAAGGAAGATTTTTGACTTCTCGGCCTTCATAATTCCTAAAATTTTCGCCTGCGGCGCTGGAAAATGAAGAATTCTGGCTTCTTGGCCTACCAAAAATTGTACAAATTTTCGCATACGCGCAAAAAGATAGAAATAAAATAGAGGATAGATATCGCAGCCACCATTACCTAATCACCCAGGTCCCCCAACTTCATAATATTACTTTTGATCCCTCTTAATCCACTTAAATTCCCCTTTAAACCTCGATATCCTCCTTAATACAAGGGCGTAGCCAGGGGGGTCGATTTCGAATGGGGGGGGGGCTAACGTTGGGTATCGCCAAAATTTTGGCTTTACCTTTGCGGTCCAGACCTTGGCGGTCAAAAATAAACCAAAAATTTGACCTATGGGATTTAAAAATTTGGTCTTGATTTTTGGTCTTGAGTCTTGGAGTTTTTGTCTTGGTCTTGAGTCTTGGTCTTGGAAAAAATTTTGTCTTGGGTCTTGAGTCTTGAGTCTTGGAAAAATTTTGGTCTCGGACAGCTCTAGTATCTTGTAAAGTAAATAAGAAAAAAATTTTTACAAGAAAAGTAGCCATAGAGTCCAAATTTCTGACATTGTTGTCAGTTGAAGTCGCTGATGTAACATTGTTAATATCCCAAACTTTTACTTGGCCCTTTCCACCAGTAAATACACGCTGTCCATTTTTGGAAAATATAGTAGTACAAACAATCTCATTGTGGGGTAAATTAGCAATATGACGCATTCCTCTTTTAAATTTAAAAATTTTTTATTTGATTTAAGGAAAAATTCTTTCCTCATAAATTAAAAAATGATAAAGACGGATCTCCATTTTACCGATTTAAAGGGTTTATATTTATTTCGGGTAAACCTTCTGTCCCAATGGCAACAATTTGAATGTATGTGATCGAAGGGGAAAGAGAACCTATTCCAACCTATTTTGGGGTTTTGCAACCTAAAATAGGTTGTAACCTATTTTGAAGTTTTTGTGATTTTTGTCACCTATTTTGACTGTTTTTCGTAAAAATTCGATTTTTTACCAAAAATTTTTAGGATTTTTCGAAAAAATTTAAATTTTTTTAAAATTTTGTCTATTTTTCTTATCACCCAAAATTTTTTTTTCAATTTTTGGAAAAATATTTTTTTCAAAAATAAAAAAGATTTTCCTTAATTAATACTTTCCAGTGGAAATTTTAAAAAATGGGAATTTTTTTACCATTTTTACTAGGGTAGCACAAAACCGTTTAGCTAAACGGTAAACGGTATACGATAAACGGGTTTTTTGCTAAAATTAAACTAAAATTAACTATAAAAATAAAATTTTTGAATGGAAAATAAAAAATATTCAACATTTTTGCTTTTTTACCCCATATGTCTACCTTTTTTTGCAACCTATTTTCCATTTTTGTCACCTATTTTCGAGATTTGGTCACCTATTTTGGCACTTTTTACAACCTATTTAGGTACCTATTTTAAGGTTTTTACAACCGAAAAATCCGAGCCCTACTAATTATTTTATTTTTTTACTTGGGAACATCAGGTTCTGAAGAAGCATCAGAAGGGAAAACAACAGGCGATATTTCTTCACCAGGCACAATCTTTAAGATAAAAAAAAAATTATTTTTTTTTGCAAGAATTGATTCCTTGTTGGCGTTTCTCGGGAAATCTTTGGATACCCCGAACTTTTCCAAAAAATTTCCGAATACCTTGACTTTTTTCGGTTCAAAATATTCAGTACCGCCAACCACATTGCCTAATCCTTCTATTAATTTTATAAAAAAATTTAAAAAGAGCACCTTAAAAGCATAAGCTGGTTCTGGCTTATTTCCTAATTTTTTCCCAGTTTTCTCCAAATTTTCATTATTAGGTTTTACAACAGTCTTGTTTCCATTTCCATCATTTTTAAGAGCACTTTCAGATGCGCCAGGCTTATTTGTAAGAGAAGACGTTTGTTCAGTAAGTGGTTTAGGGCCTATAAATTATTTAAAATTTTCATGGATTTTCTATTAAATTTTTTTGTCGAAAAATTCAAAAAAAAAAATTTGCCTATCGAAACTTAAGATAAATTTCAATAGAAAATTTATGTCCGCAAATTAATGCAGACCTGTCCGCAAATTATTGCGGACAGGTCCGCAAACAAAAATTTTTTAAATTCAATTTCACTTTTATTTCCAAAATTAATTGGTAGATTATACAACCACGATGATGAAAGAGCAGGAAATGTTAAATTACTATTAAATGGATATTGTGTAGGCCACGGTAAAGTCCAATCATTAGTAGCAGATGTATCAAGCGTTGAATTTTTTGATAAATTATTAGAAATCTTTATTAGAGCTTCCCTTAAAAGGAAAATTTAGATTGTTTTTATCAAGTTAAAATAAAGCCAAAATGTCCGCAAGATTTGACCATTCTGTACATTTATAAGAAAAACTTGTGGAGAACAAGGCCCGGAAACGACACTATTTACGATTTGTCCGCAAATTGTTTGGAATGTTGTGACTTATAGGGGGTTTTTGTTGGCTGGACCGATTTCGACAAATGAGGTGTCATTCGAAAGAGCTCGCCAAGCTGAGTCGATCCCGCGGGGGAAGAAGTCGATCCGACAATCAGGGACCGAGTTACAGACCCCTGAAGTTTGAAAAAGAGAAGGGGGGAGTAAGCTCATTTTGGGGTGAAAAATTCAAAAATACAAATAATAGCTCATTCGACTCGGCTCGTCGAGCTGAGTCGAATGACACCAAAATCAGCTCGATACCTTGACTCTGAGCCAAGATAAACAGGTTCGAAATGGTCAACATAAACCTATGGAGCGTCGGCGAGGCGCTTGTGCGAAACCCCGCGCTTCGCGCGGGGTTTCGCGGCACGCGCCTCGCGGGGCGTCAACGGTCGCTGGGTCTGGGTCAGTAACATAAACCTATTCCTATCATCGATGAGTTGGGCATACTTGGCTTCCTCCGCAGCACCAAAAACTCCACGTGCGCCTTAGGTAAGGAGCTAAAAGAAACGATCATAACTTTGTCCAATTAAGTCGGATTTCGATGATTTTGGTGTCATTCGACTCAGCTCGACGAGCCGAGTCGAATGAGCTATTATTTGCATTTTTGAATTTTTCACCCCAAAATGAGCTTACTCCCCCCTTCTCTTTTTCAAACTTCAGGGGTCTGTAACTCGGTCCCTGATTGTCGGATCGACTTCTTCCCCCGCGGGATCGACTCAGCTCGGCGAGCTCTTTCGAATGACACCTCATTTGTCGAAATCGGTCCAGCCAACAAAAACCCCCTATAAGTCACAATACCCATTGTTTGTTGCGGACAACAGAAAAAAAGCTTGAAAATAAATTTTATTTTTTACTTCCTTGTTCCTCCATTTGTAAAAGGCATAGTTTGACGTAGATAGCTTTGCTGAAATAAGTTGCCCTGTTCATTTTCCTAAAGAAAGCAAAAAATATCGTTAAAAAAGAAAATGAGAGAGAAGCACCAGAAGATTAAAATGTTTAGCCTTTGACATCGCTAACATAGCACATCCTTGCTGCTCTTTTGGCAGCATTGGGATAACATGCTAAAATTAATTAATTTTTTAAATCTAAAAAAATATAAACCGTCAAAATTGCTGAAAGTTGTTTGCCAATTTCTATATGTTTCTGCTTTTCCATATTTAAAGAAAAAAGTGATTCATTCATCTTTAAAAAATTTTTTGTTAAAAATTTTTTTTATGCTTTGGAGTGGGGGGATTTATTTAATTTTAAACTACAATTTTCTCCCTCTACTCCTTTCGGTACCTACTATTGTTGGGGTTGGAAGGTTAAGGATTTGTCAGTGTTGCGAATGTCGGGGTATGGGTCTGGGCTAGTTCTGGGTTAGACGAGTCCGGATCTTTAATCCTACAACAAAAAAGGTCCCTAAAATTCTCTCCAAAAACCCCTACCATCGTTGTATATCCTTGAAGACCATCCCTCTCCTTTTGACATTTTTCCAATTCCATTTTTGTATTATCCAACTGTTTTTGTAAAATTTCAAAATCTTTTTCCGTTTCTTTAATTTTTTGATTTATTTTTTCATTATTTTCAACAAATCCCATTAATTTTAATTTTTCTAAAAATTCATCCAAAGTTTGTTCCAATTGTAAATTAAATGTTTCTTTTGAATCTTTAATTTCATTGTTGACTGAGGTGTCTGGTTTAGTTACTTGTTCATTAGGTATAAAATTGTCGTTTTGTTTGTCTGTTGAAGGCACAACAAAAATTTCCTAAAAATGAATTTTTAATGGGTATAACGAGTCCGCAAATTTTTTGCGGATTTAAAAATTTTTGAGTCCGCAAATTTTTTGCGGACAAAAAAATTTTGTCCGCAAAAAAATTGCGGACAAAATTTTGTCCGCAATTTTTCACCCGCAAAAAATTCGCAATTTTTTTCCTCACTTTTTCTATATCTTCCTTCAAATGCTGTTGCTGTTGGAAATTGATAGGTGGACGAAGGAGTATAACTCTAGCATATTGAACACCAAAATTAAAGAAAAACCTGCAAAGGAATGGTTTAATGTTTTTTTTAATTAAAATTTCAAAGCCTAAGTGTATCAATATCATTTAATGGTAAATCCATTCCATTAACCTTGGCACTTGGCCCAACATTCAAATTGACTTTTTGATAAGTGGGCATGTCGAAAAAAGGCTGTAAAAATTTGGAAAGGTAAAATTGAACCTCGTACCCCCCCCCCCTTCTTTCCTTCCACAGGTGAAAAAATGTTCCTTTCTTTATGGCCAAAGGTACCCAGCTCTGCATTTTTGGATCATTGGTCCGGTACTGTGCATGTGTAGTTAAATTCTGGGTGAGTAGAACCTCTATCCCCATAAAAGATTCTAAAATTGATTCTAAAAAGCAGAGCTGGGTACTTATCTCCGTAGACAAGATCTGTGACACATTCTAAGTCTGCCCATTATTTTACGTTTGAAGGAAAGAAAAGAGAAATTCTCATACAATTTTCACTATAGACTGAGAAATTGGCCAAGCTAAAGAAGGTACAGGTTGCCCATCATTGTTTGCCGAAACATTTTGTCCAAAGGGTATTTCTGGAGGTTGTTTTTCAATATTATTGAATGAATTGTCTTTATTAAGGTTGGCTTTGTTGTTATTTTGCTTGTCCAATGAAGGCAAAACAAAAACACCCTAAAATGGATTTTATAATTAAAAGATTTTTTTGGGTATGGTAAATGTCCGCAAGTTTTGTCCGCAAAATTTTTTTAATCCGCAAAAATTGTCCGCAAATTAAAAAATCTTTTTTATTTTTTACTACCTTTTCCTCATCTTCTTCCTCCAAATGTTTATAATTATTATCAAATTCCTCATCATCATGTAAAAATTTAAACCAAACAATATGACACAAAACAGAAAATAAAATATTAGAGGAAATTAAAATTATATTTCCAATATATTGTATAGGCCTATAAAAACAAGTTTATTTTAATTTTAAAGTTGGGAAATTACTTTTGTAATTTTACAATACTGAAAAAACAAAACATGGAACAAGAGATAATTGAAATACATTGTAAGGCTGGGAGACTATAAGGCTGAAAAGAAAACAAGTTTTTAGTTATGTTTTAATTCAAGTTTATTAAAAACAAGTTTATTAAAAACAAGTTTATTAAAAACAAGTTTATTTAAAGCAAGTTTATTTAAAACAAGTTTATTTAAAACAAGTTTATTTAAAAAAAGTTTATTTAAAAAAAGTTTATTTAAAACAAGTTTGCAACAAGTTTATTTTTAAAAATCAGAATTTGTAATTTGAAGTTTATTCTGATTTGTTTGTTTTTAAATCAGAACATGTTTGCAACAAATTTATTTTTATGTTTGTTCTTATAAAATTATAACATGTTTGTTGTTTTTCCATGTTTAAATCAACCTACCTTTCTTTTAAAAACCAGAACAAAACAACCAACAAACATCAACACCATTCGAAGCAAAGATAAAATAAAAAAATCAGCAACAGATTTGTTTATCTCGAAAGGCAATGAAAAAGCGTTGAGGAAATGTTGAAAAGAAAACGAATTTCCATTAAAACAAATTCCAATAAAAGAAAATAAAATATCAAATGTTGAAAGAACTAATGTTGTTAGAAAACAACAAAATAGTTGTTTTTGTTTAACCATGTTTTGATGTTTTAGTTGTTCTTTTTGTAAAAATCAGAATTTAAAACAAACAAACAAACAAAAACAATGTTTTTCCAATATTCTGATTTTATTTGCAATTATAAATTAAAAATTCTGATTTGTAAAACAAAGAGAATTAATTAAATAAACTTGTTTTTACAAATCAGAATTTATTTAAATTGTAATTGTAAAATCAAAATTCTGGTTTGAAACAAAGTTTAAAATAAAAATGTATTAATTGTAAAACAAGTTGGAAAACAAACAGAATTGTATTTTTATTTATTAAAAGGCAAAAAAGTTTCAAAAACAGGCGGAATTTTACATGTTTTTAATATGCTAATTAAATGTTTGTGTTTTACAGAAGATAATAAACATGAGAATTGCAAACTTAAAAACATTAATTTAAATTGTAATCTTAAGCTTTTTCAAGTTTCAGAATAAAAACAAAGTGTGCGCAGGTTTATTCAATTGTAAAAATATTACAAAAATAATTGTAAAAAACAAGCAGAATAATTTTAAAATAAAAAATAAGTGGATGTTGGGTAGGGGAAAAAATAATGTTTTTGTGTATAATAATAAAATGAGATGCGTTCAGTATTTATATATGCAGAGTAGAAGCCAAGTTTTTAAACAAAACTTTTTCCTCTCTTAGAAATGACCGCCTAGTTGCCTTAGGGCTAAGTTTAATTGACTTCCTTACTTAATGAACAGACTCCCAACATATTCCCCTTTTTGTTTTAATGTTCCAAGGGGAAAAAATGACCCAGGCAATTTTAAGAAGGAAAAAGTTTTTAAAAGAATTTTAAGTGTTTACTGTAAAATAACCTAGAAAATTCCAATAAGAAGAATGAAAAAATAATCGGATTGATAACAAAATCAGCCAAAAAATAAATTCTAAAAGGATCCGAAATTTAAAAAAGTATAGGGGAAGATGGGCTATTTTTATATTATTAAATATACGAAAAATAATGAGTGATTACTGAAAATTAAAATTAAAGAGAAGAATATTTTAAAAAATTTTCTCTCCTTCAAAAAAATTAATTAATTAATTAAAAGCTCAATTCATATAGAGATGCCTTTTTTTCTCCCGATCCAGTTAAAAGAAAACGATCATCTTCAGAAATGTCGCAACTTAGAACAGAACTTACTTCCTTTGTTTTTATAAGTCTGTAACCATAAGGTGTGCGCCAACAATTTACAACGTTGTCTTTTCCAGTGGAAACAAACCACTAAAAAATAAAAAAGTTTTTATTCTGGTTTGTAAAACATGTTTTTAAAGAAAGTTCTGGTTTGTAAAACATGTTTTTAAAGAAAGTTCTGATTTGTAAAACATGTTTTTAAAAAAGTTTTGGTTTGTAAAACATGTTTTGTAAACATGTTTTGTTAAGTTTTTATTCTGGTTTGTAAAAACATGTTTCTAAATAAAGTTCTGGTTTGTAAAAACATGTTTTTAAAGAATATTCTGATTTTTAATTTAAAAACATTTTTCTTTAAAAAATATTCCGATTTGTAAAACATGTTTTTAACGACAAAAATATATCACAAAACATGTTTTTAAATTCTGATTTGTACAAACATGCTTTTATCTATAAACATTGTTTTGTAAAACATTTAATTTTTAAAAACACATGTTTTTACAATTCCAGTTAAAAATTCTGATTTTCCCCAACTAAGAATGTTTTGATGTGTAAAAACATTAATTAATGTTTTTAAAATTATTTAAAATTGTAAAACTTGCCTTTCCACTGTTCGCAAACTTTAAAGACAAAACACAACTTTGATGAGCACTAATTAAATACTTTTCGCTCGTAGGTTCGCTGTTTAGAACCTAAATTTGTGTAAATTTGTTTTTAAGTATTCAGGTTTGTATAACCTGAACATTACTGTCTTCCAATCCAACAGCAACCCAATTATCAGTTGGACAACAACCAAGTGAGAAAATCTTTAAAAAATATTTTTCTGATTTTACAAAGCTAGTTTTGGATGTTTTAAAGCATGTTTCAGGTTTAGAAACATGTTTCAAAATTTCGGGTATTTCAGAACAATTCAGCATCAAATTTATACAACTTTGCTTCGTAAATGTTTAAAACACGTGAAACATGTTCTTTATGTATCAGATATGCTTCAGATTATCTGAAGCATGCTTCGAATCAGACCTAGCCAGGTTTTTCATTTGCCCTAAAATGCTTCATAAATCCTGAAGCAGGTCCGACAAAAAAATTTTTTTTATTCTATCTCACCTGACTTTCCAATAGTTGGGCTTCAATTTGTTGTCTAGCCCCAATATCCCAACACCTAACAGTATTGTCCAGCCCTCCAGTCCACAACTTCTGTCCATCACCACTTATATCAACACAACTAGCCCCATCAGAATGCCCAATTAATTGAACAATTCTTTCACCAGATGTCAAATCCCAAACATTCACAACACCATTAGAACAACAAGAAAACAAAGTTTTACAATCTTGAGAAATAGCTAAAGCATAACAAGCTTCTGCTTCACAATCAAATGTTTGTTTTATTTCCCCTCCTCTTTCAACATCCAATATACAAATTGTTTTTGTTTCCCCTCCAACAATTAAAGTTGATCCATCAGAAAATAATTTACATGAACGAATATAGCTATCTTTTAGGCACTTTAAAAAAAGATTGAATTTAGCTTTGATTAAAAAATTTTATATTCTAATAAACGCCCAAATACAGGTAAAGTTTCATAGTTAGTGTGTAGCATTTGACTAGAAAAAAATTTTTTTCTCGCCCATTTTTCAACGAGAAAAAATCTAGTTAGATTATTTCTGTAAAGGGAACTCCCTAGGATATTTCTGTAAAATAATCTAGTCAAAATGTTTAGATGAGGAACACGAAAAAAGAAATATAAAGTCATCATCCCAAAGTAGCTTAGTTAATAAAGTCATTGAACGAGGCGTTAGCAAAGCTCCTAGTTAAAAACAACCCAGGAAGAGCAGGTTCGATTTCCCAACTTAAGCTAACTTAGTTTTACTTAAAGTTCGTTCTTCACCACGTTAAACAAAAAATGTTCTATTCACCGGAAAAGTAGCTACAGGCAACCACGGTTCTGTACTTGCAGCCCTCCCACCACCACCTCCATTACTAGCAGTTTCAACAGATCCAACTCCCCCCATATCATCACCACTTGAAGTATCATTTGAAGCATTTGCTGTTGATGAATTAAATATTCGTTCAGTAATATCCCAAACTTTTACAGCCCCTTTTCCGCCAGTGAATACACGACGTCCATCTTTAGCTAAAGTAACAGCACAAACAACATCTCCATGAGGTAAGTCCCCAATTCGGCGAAGTCCTCTGAAAAAACGATTTTTTAATTAAAAAAAGGTTGGAAAGAAGGATGATAAGCTTAATTTTCAGACAGGAAATTAGAGCAAAAAAGAAAATTTTAAGACCAGCTCAGTAAATAGAGCAAATGATCGAGGTGTTAGCAAAGCTCTTTTGTAATACCAACCAGGAATAAGCAGGTTTCCTGCCGTTAACCTCCTTTTATCAGCAATCTATTAACCTACTTTTACTTTTTACTTATTAAGCTAGTAGTGTTCCACGAGAACAAGAATCATTTTTTCAAGAAAAAAACTAGGAATAAAACCAAAAAACTGCATAAAAATTCCAGCTAACTTAAAACTAAACTTTAAGTGGAACACTAAAAACACCAAGAAGATAACCCCCTTATTAAAAATTTAATTTAAAAAAAAAAATATATTCTACTTTGGCACATCCGGTTCTAAAGAAACATCAGGCGGGAAAGAAACAGGAGCTATTTGTTCACCAGGCGCAACCTTTAAATTTAAAATTTTTAAAGTTTTTTTTTTGAAAAATTTTTCACAATCCAAAATGCTCTAATTAAAGCCCTAGACTTTTATTTTTATTTGCCTTCAAAAGGATTCGAACCTTGACCCACCACCATCAAAAAATTAAATTTTAAACCACTTAACCAAGAACACAATTTTCAATTTAAAAAATTTTCTGAAATTTTAAAAAAAAAAAAAAAAATTTTTTTTCGGAAAGATTTAAAGAATTCTCACTTCTATTTTCTAAATTTTTCCGGAAAGATTTAAAGAATTCTCACTACTATTTTCTAAATTTTTCCGGAAAGATTTAATTTAAAGAATTTAAAGAATTCTCACTTCTATTTTCTAAATTTTTCCGGAAAGATTTAAAGAATTCTCACTTCTATTTTCTCCATAAAAAAATTTAAAAAAAAACCTTAAAAGCATAAGCTGGTGATTTCCCATTAGTTGTCATTGCAGCTGTTAAAGCATTTAGAGAAGAAGGATTTAATTGTCCTCCTCCTCCTCCAGGAGTCATTCCAAATAATCCCGATATTTGATTGTTAAAATTCCCAGGAAATCTATTAGCTCCATAATTATTTGCAAAGAAATCTGCCATAGCGGGAGGTAAAAGTTGCTGAATATTTGGTTGTGGTGGACAGCCAGAAGAAGAACCAGGGGTAGAAGCAAGCTTGAAAAAGAGTGAAAGAATGAATAAAAATTATTCAAAAAATTTTAACGACACCAAAAATTTATTTTTTTTGTTAGAGTCACAAGTAAAATTAATCTTGAAGTAATTAAAAATGTTTGACTCCCAAGAGGATTCGAACCTTGATCCATTACTTATTGAAAATCATCCCACTTAACCATAAAAACAAGTTAACCCCCAAATTCTCTCAAGTCGTCTCCTGCCTAATGAAAATGTCTGACCCCCAAAAAAATTCTCGAACCTTAACCACATTACCTCCTAAACCACTAACCCACTTAACCACAAAACTTGCTAGCCCTAAATTGTCTTCCTAAATCAATTAAAAATTCTCTTGTCTACTCAAAATCCATTTTTAAAAAAGAAAACCTGTAGTTTTCCAGAGCGAGGCGTAGCAGAATCACGAGATGAGGCTGAAGCAGTGTCTCTTTCATCTTTACCTTTATGAAAAGGTTGGCTAGTTCTTCCGTTGGTGTGATGAGATAAAGCCGCAGAGGAACCAGCATCATCATTTTGAACCTGAAAAATAAATTTTTATAAAAATATCCTCAAAATAATGTCCCCAAAATGGACGTAAAATTTTTTTGTCCGCTAAGATAAAAATTTGCCCGCTAAAAAAATTGTCCACAAAAGCAAAAATTTGTCTGCAAAAAATAAAAAAGTCCGCAAAAATGCCACCCTAAGGCCTATAATTTGAATAAAACAAAAAAAACAGAATGCCAAAAATAACCAAAAAAAAATTTATTTTTTTTTTATCAAAATGCCCGCAAAACGGTCAAAAATTATAAAATGTCAACGTATTAAAAAATAAATACAGAATGCCAAAGAAATTTGAAAAAATTTTCAAGAAAAAAAATTAAAAACCAACATCAATTTCCAATTCTCCATCCCCATCTTCAGGTTCCAATTTAGTTCTCTTTGCATAAGAAACAGGTGTTCCAGTGCCTGATCTTGGCCTACTTCCTCCTCCACCAGTACTGTTTAGAACAGAAGATGCTCTTCCAGGATGTGTTGATGGACGGCCTGAAGCTTTTTAAATAATGAAAATTTGCGGATAGAAGTTGCGGACTGGTTTTTCAAAGTAAATTCGCTCTATCTCTTAAGGAATCTAACGACCTTATTGACCATTCCCATCCAAAAAGTCCGTAAATTATTGCGGACTGTCCGCAAATTCTTTAAAAAACTTTTAAGCGGAGAATTCGGGAACATTCTATGGTTGGCCCTAAATTATCAGTAAATTCCCTTTCTAACCCTTAAGGTTTGTCCGCAAATTTTTTGCGGACTGTCCGCAATTTTTTTGCGGACAGTCCGCAACTTTTTTTGCGGACTGTCCGCAATTTCAAAAATTTTTTTAAAAATTTCTCATACCTTCATCTCCACCACCAGTTGGAGGAACGGACGAAGAAGATGACGGCCCAGGCATTAATGGATGATTACTTGATGGAAGTTGTTGAGGAATACAAGAAGGTTGTGGAGGACCACCACTACCAGCAGCAACATTATTAGCTCCAGCCAAAATTGGATTTTTTAAAATATTGTTGAAGAGTTGCTGCATTGCATCCTCCGGTTTTACATTTAAATTTAAACCCCTAAAATAAACAAAAAAAATTAAAAAAAAATTTTTTTAAACAAACATTCCAGCCATCATCATTGCAGGATTAAATGCTGCAGCTGCTGCAGCGGGTCCAGCAACAGACATCATAGCAGCTAATTGTTGTTGTTGTAAATGATTGGTTAAAAGTTCCTTAAAAAAGCATTTTTATTAAATATGTGGTTGAATTTTTGTTTATTTTTTTTAACTTGCGGACTTTCCGCAAAAAAAATTGCGGAAAGTCCGCAATAATTTGCGGACTTCCCAACGTCTTTAAATGTCCTTAAAAAATAAACCAACCAAAACGGAACAGGAAAAAGGGGAAATAACTCAAACTACATAAAGAGGTTTTTAAAATTATTAAACAAAAAAAAAATCTCACATTATTTAAAAACTACTCCAGACTTATAAACCTTTTCCCCTTTATAAACTAGAGATCGGCCTGGGTCTGGACTAAAGCCTGGAGGTTTCCTGTACCCAGAGGCTAGGCATTTTTTGATCTTCCTGGGTTTTTCCTGGGCCTGGGTTTTCCCGGACTACAGGCTCAGGATCCAATCCAGGTCAAAAAATCGAACCCCAGAGTCTAGGAACAGGTCCAGGCTTTTCAAAATTTCCGATCTCTATTATAAACCTCTTAAAAATTATTAAAAAAATACTTGTGTTCCAACAGCTTTGGCCCTTTCAATCGCCGACACAGCAGATCCTTGGTGTTCTTGTGGAAGCATTGGGATAACGTGCTAAAAATTAAAAAAAATTTTTTTAGAAAAATTTTAAAGAAAATAAAAAATAAACCGTCAAAATTCCAGAAAGTCTTTTGCCAATTTCTATATGCTTTTGAGTTTCCAGGTTCAAAGAAAATAGTGATTCATTCATCTTTAATTAATAAAATAAAAATTATTTTGAAAAAATAAAGGAGAAAACAAGGAAATTTGGTAGAATTTTCCTCTGGTTTTGAGCTACCCAAACATCAAAAAAAAATTAATTTTCAAAGAATTTATTGTTGGATTGGTATGAATACCCAAATGTGGAAACAACAAAGCTGTAATAACCCCTAAGAGCCGCTGAAATAGCGAACTATAGGAAAATGAGGACTGTGAATTCTGTTCCAAAAAACGAGGGAAGGCTAGATGAAAACCCAAAGCTTATTTGGCGAGATCGTATTTTCGACGAGATCGTATTACGGCCCGCTAAGAGATGGAGTCCACATGTAATGAAAATGGCAGTCTCAATAAGTCTTTTTTTTAAAGTCCGCAAGTTTTGTCCGCAAATCTTGGTAAAAAATTTTTCTCCAAAAATTTACTTTATTCACCAGTTTTTGCCTCAACTATTAAAAACCTCCCTGGCTTTACCATAAAAAATATTTAAAAAAATAATTCACTAACCATCATTGAATATCTTTGAAGACCATCCTTTTCCTGTTGACACTTTTCCAATTCAATTCTCGTATTATGCAGTTGTTGTTGTAAAACTCCAAATTCTTCGTATACTTTATCCAACAATTCCTTCACTGCCCCCGTACCAGAATTTGTTGCTCCAAGTTTCATTCCACTTGTATTACTTGTTCCAGCCACTCCAGGTCCGGAAGTACCGCTTTGGTGGTGTGAAGATGAGGCAGAATTGGCCTAAAAATGGATGGAATTAACAAAAGTTATTGGTTTAAAAAATTCTTTAAAAATATTTTTAGACTCTAATAATCTCGTTTTAATTGAAAAAATATTTTCAAGTTAAAAGAAAAAACGATTTCCCTCGGTGGGATTCGAACCCGCGACCCTTTCAGTTGAAAACTTCAAACGCTTCCCACTAAACTAAAAGGCTGTGTTAAAAAATAAAAAATTATTTCTAGACTCTAATCGCTATATTTTTACCAAAAAATATTTTTCTGTTAAACTAAAAAAAGTTTTCCTACAACAGGATTCGAACCCACAACCCTTCCCGTTGAAAACCCACTCGTTTCCCACTAAACCAAAATGACACTAAACGTAGGCCCTTTTAAATTTAATAAACTAGTTAATTTAAACAATGTTTAAGCACTTTTTTAGTTAAAAACAATTTAAAATTAAAATAGCTATTGTCAATTAAAAAATTAAAAAGTGAGGAAAGGAAGGGAGGGACAAGTCTTTTAAAAATACCTAGACTTTTTCGCGATTAATTTTATTTTTTCTCAAAACAAAAACTAATAAATAAAAATTTATATTTTAAATGGCGACTCTTTCCTCTCTTTTTCAATCCTCTTCACGCCTCACATTTTCTAAAAGAGAGAAAAGAAATGAGCGGAAACTCCCCAATGTTTTTAAGATATTTTATTGGCTTCCCTGGGTAGATGAAAAGAGAAAATCGATTACAGAAAAAATGTGGAGGTTATGTACAAATTGACTACAAAAATTGAAAAAAGAGGAAAATAATTAACGCAAAATTATTTTTAGATTAATTAATTTTAAAATTTGCGGATTTTTAAAATTAATCCGCAAAAACTTGCGGATTTTCTAAAGTCCGCAAGTTTTGTCCGCAAATATATTTTTCCATCCGCAAATCTTAAAAGTGCCATTTTACTTCACTATACATCCTATGATATTTGAGGCCCTATCTGAATAAGAGGGCGCTTTGATTTTTTTCATCATTTTTTTCCTACCTTAATATATAAATAATGGTATATGCCACAGGTAAAAAGAGTGGAATCGAACGAGGAAGAAAAGACTGACCATTATTTATATATTAAGGTAGGAAAAAAATGATGAAAAAAAATCAAAGCGCCCTCTTATTCAGATAGGGTCATATTTGACCCCAAAAATGCTTCTTTTAGTTAAGTGGGAAAAAGTTAGGTTTCCAAGGGGAAGGGGTGTGAGGTTCGAACCCCACTAGCGAAAAACAATTTTTTCTTTTAACAAATCAAAATTTTATTATTAAAATAAAGTTAGTGGAGTTAAAAAAATATTTTTTTAATTATTAAAAAATTAAATTTACATCGAAAAAGCGGACAAAATTTTTTGCGGACAAAACTTGCGGACAAAAAAAAATTTTTTTTGCGGACAAAAAAAAATTTTTTGCGGACAAAAAAAAATTTTTGGCTGTAGTTTAGTCGAGGGCCCGCTCCAAACCGGGTCGAAACATATGTCTTTCGATTCGTCTCGGCGAGCTGAGTCGAATGGTACCACTCCCTAAGTGCGGAAATGCCTGTGGACTGAGATATAGGTCCCTGAAATTTGAAAAACCATAGGGGGGAGTAAGCTGAATTTTGGGGTGAAAAATTCGATTTTTTGTATGATAGCTCATTTGAAAGAGCTCCTCGAGCTGAGTCGAATGACACCAGAATCAGCTCTAGTTCTAAATTTTGAACCGAGATAAAGAGGCCCAAAATGGTCAAAACACATAGGGCGATTTTAGGGGTCAAAAATTTGAATATACAAATGATAGCTCATTCGAAAGAGCTCGACGAGCTGTGATAAATGACACCAAAATCAGCTCGATCCGATGATTCTGAACAAAATTATGAACAACTTAACTTTCGCGCGAATAACTATTTGTGCTGCTGCGGAGGGTAGGTCGGCATTCAAGGCTGAGAATTGGTAAAAGGAATAGGATTAAGTTACGAGCCCAGACCCAGCGCCCGTAGACTCCCCGCGAGGCGCGTGCCGCAAAACCCCGCGCGAAGCGCGGGGTTTTGCACAAGCGCCTCGCCGACGCTCCATAGGTTTAAGTTGATCATTTCGAGCCCTATATCTCGGCCCAAACTTGTCCAATCACAGTGATTTTGGCGTCATTCGACTCAGCTCGAGGAGCTCTTTCGAATGAGCTATCATACAAAAAATCGAATTTTTCACCCCAAAATTCAGCTTACTCCCCCCTTTGGTTTTTCAAATTTCAGGGACCTATATCTCGGTCCACAGGCAGTTCCGCACTTAGGGAGTGGTACCATTCGACTCAGCTCGCCGAGACAAATCGAATGACATATGTTTCGACCCGGTTTGGAGCGGGCCCTCGACTAAACTATATCCAAATTTTTTTTGCGGACAAAAAAAAATTTTTTTGCGGACAAAACTTGCGGACACACACAAATCCAAAAATAAAAAGAAAAACAAACAAACCGTATTATGCCTATTCTGCGGAAACATATTCACAGCTGCGGCGGAGCTAGAGGGCTGGTGATGAGAGCTGCTTGTAGTTTTGGAACGAATTGTGACTTTTTGTGAGAGCTTTGGGTTGCTCTCTTTTATTTTTAATTAAATAAAGAAAAAAAAGTTTTTTTTTCTTTTTAAAGAATTTAATAAACTAAAATAAATAATTTTAAAAAAAAAATTAAAAAAACAAAAGATTTTCCGAAAAAAAAATTTTTTTCGAAGAAAAAAATAAATTGCCAAAAATGGAAAATTTTTTTGTGACATTAAAAAAAAGTTTTGAGAAAATATATATAAAATGACTAATAAGTATACAACATACGTATGTAATTAAAAATTAAAAAAAAAATTAGCGTCGAAAAAAATTAAACAAAAAAAAATTCAAAAAAATACATAAATGCGTTTTTAAAAGGCATTTAGGCTAACTATCTATTAAATTTGCCATTTAAGCTATCTATTAAGAGAGGAAGAGCCCGTTTTATTACCCTAAATATGACGTTGTTAGTATTAATTAAGTGGAGGTGGAAGGATTTGCGGAAAGAACGAAAAAATTTGCGGACAAAAAAGTTTGTCCGCAAATTTTTTGCGGACAAAATTTGCGGATTTTTAGTGTCCTTTAATATAATATTTTCTAAAAATCTTTAAGGTCATTATGGCTTCTAATTTTCTCCAAAACAAGTCAAAGTGGTTAATTAAAAGAAAAATTAATTCCGCGCCGAAATGACCCCTCTCCAAAAATAACCCTCAATCCATTTTGGGTAGGACTACTCTTCCTTCCCTTCCCTTCTCTTCTTTTCGTTCAGCTCAAATTATTTATTCTTTTTATTATTCTTCTTGTAAAGGTATAAAGTGTATGTATTTAGTAGTATTTTGATTGCGTGAGCGAATAAGGGGTAGGTAGATAGAGGAGAGAGGAAGAGAGAAGGGAAGGGGAAGAAGTGTTTTGTCTACCTAATAACTACTGACTGCCCTTCTTGTGCTTTTAGCCTCTTTTTTTACCTTCCATTTTTTTTTCTTCCAATTTTTCCGCTTTTTGTCACTTCTATCCTTTCCTCCCTTGTCTTCTCACTACCAAAAAATATATATCTAATTTTTATAGATGAGACAAACATCATTCCCCCTCCCCTTCCCCTAAAAACCCCATAAAAACTATAAAGGATAGGAAGATTGCGCTGCTTAAAAATGCGCTTTTGTCAGTGAGGGGAAGGCTAGTTAAATATATTGTTTGGTATAAAATGGCGAGGACAGTTATATAGGCGGCTTTCCCAAGAGAGAAAAAAATGTGTATATAGTGGTCGTTGAGGAGCATTAAATGAGTGAAGAAGAAAAAATTGGGGCGCGTTAAGGACTCGAGAACTTTTGAAAAAAATTTTTTTTTGAAATTTAGGGTATGGAAAACTCCAAAAATTTTCAAAAAAAAATCAAAAAAATCAGAAAAATTTTCAGAAATTCTGATTTTATAATCAGAATTTTTGTCCGAAAACGATACATTTTTGAACGGAAATTACGTATTTTTTTGTCATTTTTCACCCATAACTTTAAAAATACAAAGCCAAAAATTCTCAAATTTTTAGTAGAGCTAGTCAACACCCTTCGGAATATGAAAATTTAAAAATTTTAAATCCCTATTTAAAAATTCAATCAATTATTTATTCGCGCGCCTAAATGTATTATGCGCCGAAACTTCCCTTTAATTAAAGGGTAATTTCGGCGCGGGAGTGTTTCGGCGCGGATTAAAGAAATACAAAGGAGGAAATATGAAGGACAAAAAGGAGAACAAATACAATTAATTCAGAAAATTGTTTTAACGCCAAAAAATCGGACTTAAAAAATAATAAAAAAAAATTGGTAGAAAGACAAGAAAAAAAAATTTTTTTGGAGGAAAGAAAAAGCGCAAAAATGGGCGCAATAAAAGAGAAGAATTACTACAAGTATGACTTGGATATAAAAATATTTTTTGGGGGAAAGAGGGGGAAATTATGTTCTAAGAGGATATATATATATATATTTTTTGGGGTTTTTTGGGGGTAAAAATGACGAACCCCTCTCTCCTCTCCTTCCCCTCCCTTCCCCTTCCTCCTTTCCTCTTCCAACAAGCAACCACTCTTCTCCCCCAATTCTCTTCTCCCCACATCGCTTTTCTCTCTATCGGCCGGGCGGCGAAAAAAAATTTTTTGGAAGAAAAAAGAGGAGAAGGGGAAGGAGAGAGATTGTCAAATATATATAATTTTTGGGGGGTGTTATAAATAAATATATTTATTGTTTGTTGATGTAAAGGGAGGGAAACAACACTACTTACTATATACTTGTGTCTGTGTCTATTTTGTGTGTGTAAAAGATGAGGAAGGGGGGCAATCTGCTATTTAAAAAATAAAAAAAGGTTGGGAAATGTTGGAAGAATTGAGGGAATTGGAGGGAAGGGGGAAGAAGAGAAGAAAGGGAGATAGATAGGTGACTGTTGAGGGGTTTTGATGAGTTTTGGAAGGCAAAAAAATTTTTTTCGGCGATTAAAAAGAAAGGCTTATTTACATAAAATATTTTTTTTAAAAATAATTTTTAGCGGTTTAATGAGGTAAAATAAAAATAAAATAAAAATAAGAGAAAGTATTTAATCATAATAAAAAGAAAAAAGGAAAAAAGCCGCTAAAGGAGAGCCGAAACTTTTTTGCAAAAGAAAAAAAGGTTGATTGGTAATAATATGGGAAGGATTAGTAGAGAAAACAAGTAAAGAAAATTAAAAAAGTGTTTTTGTATAAATTAAAAAGTGTTAACTTGAAAGAAAAAATTAATTTTAATTTTGGGAAAATTTTTAAATTTTAATGGAAATAGTGTGTAAACAAGAGAGACGGAAAAAGAAAAATTAAAAGTTAGACAAACTTTTTTTAAATAAACATTACGCCAAGTTGTCAAGTTTTAATTGGCATATTTTTAAAACTAAAAAAAAAGTTTGAATAATTTACAATTTGTAAAAAGTTGGAACAAGTTTTATTTTTTAAATATTCAAGTTTTGTGTTTTTATAATTCAAGTTGCAATAAAAAGTTGGTGAAAAAAGTTGGAATTTTTAAATAATTTTTATAAAACTTTTTTTCCAACTTTTTTACAATTTGTATTTACAATTTGTAAAAAGTTGGAAAAAAAGTTTCCAACTTTTTTACAAATCGGAAAAAAGTTTCCAACTTTTTTACTAGCTTGAAAAAGGTTCCAACTTTTTACAATTTGTATTTACAATTTGTAAAAAGTTGGAATAAAAAGTTTTAAGAAATAAAGCAGAGAAAAGAGAAATAGTATGAAAAAAGAAGAGACGGTGTCTTTTTGAGTCTATTTTCTTTATTAATTTTAAAGCTGTTTAACTCGGTATTTTATTTATTTATATTAAAAAAAGAAAAAGCATAACCAATTTAAAAACAAAAATAAATAAATACACTTAAAATGGCCCTAAAAAGAAAAGCAAAAATGTGTAGATTGACCAGATAGAATATATTTATTTTAATGTTTTTAGTGTTTTTGAGGGGTGAAAGGAGGAAAGAAAGCTTTTCTAAAATGAATGAGATATATGTTGGAATATGAGGAAAAAAAATTGAGAAAAAGGTTTTGGGGACATCAAGTAGGAAGAGGGGGAAATGAGTAAAAAAAGGAGGAAGGGGGAAGGAAGGCTTGTGGCGCCAGTAGGCGGCGGATTGGATTTCCTCTCCCCCCTTTCCCCTCACTTTTTCTTTTTAAATATATTCTCATCTCCTTTATTTTCTTCTAAAAAATCCCCCCTCTCAAACAATGGTGCAAATGGGCAAACAGCATGAAGAAGAAGAAAAGTGGAAGAGGAAAGAAGAGAAGAAAATGCTGCTTTGGGGTTGCGATATAAATATATTATTTTTTGATAAGTTGAGGAAAGGATTGGGGGAGGGGAGGATTGGGGGATATTAAAAACAATTTTTGTTGGGGGAATAAAATGACTGAGAGAATCTCTCATTAAATAATACCTAGTTTATATTAATTTTTGGTAAAAGGTTCTAAAAGAAGATTAATTACCTTATAGAAGGATATTAGAGTCTGAGTTTTGGGGAGATAAAGTTGTCTATTAGCGTGTTTTTGGTACTCAAGTGACCCTTGACTTTAAATGGTATATGTAGGGGGAAGATGCGCAAAAACGATAAAAATCTGTTACTAAACGAAATAAATTTTTGGGAAGAAAAATAAAAGAAATAAAAGAAAAAATGTCAAATTAAAATAATTTTTTTAGAAAATTTTCAAAATTTTTTTTTCAAAATTTTTCAAAGGGAGATAAGAAAAGTTGTATTTTTTCTAAACATTTCAAGTTTGCGTTTTTACAATTCAAGTTTGTAAAAGGTTGCACAAAAAAGGCTGTATTTATTTTTACATAAATTACATATAACTTGTATTTTCAAATTGTAAAAGGTTGGAAAAAGGTTTATTTTATAACTATTCAAGTTTTGTGTTTTCACAATTAAGTTGCAAAAATAAGTTGGTAAAAAAGTTGGAAAGGTTGGGAAAAAAGTTTAAGAAAAAGAGGAAGATAAAAAACTTGGATTTTTAATCAATTTACAATTTGTATTTACAAATTGTAAAAAGTTGGAATAAAAGTTTTTTTTAACTGATGAGCAGTCATAATAAACATTTTTTCTCAATTCATTTACATTATGTATAAAAAGGAAGAAAATATAATTATCGCGCGCCTATTTTGCATATTAAATTGGTTGTTACTGGCACAGCATGTTAATTTGAAAGAAAAAATGTTTGTTATAGTTGAATAAAAAGTAGTAAATATCCTTGAGAGTAAATTAATGGGAAAAATTAGTTATATGAGAAGATTTTTTTATTCAAAAAAATTTTTTAGAGAAAAATTTTTTTAAGGTTCATTAGAGTCTGAGAGGATTTTCCAGCTCTTTTTTTGCTTAAAAAATCGAAAAAAAATTTTACTTCCCCCAAAAAAAATTTTTTTAAAGTCTCCCTAAAAATGTGTATAGATTGAAATAAATATATTTGAATGAATATGCATGACCCCCAATTTATTCTCACAAAAAGGCGAGCAAGTCGACAACATATACACACACCCCAACTAAATAACAACCTCTAAAGCAATATACCAAAAAATTTGTGTGAGGCCCTCTAGAGGGAAAGGGAGAAAGGATTAGCCCTCAACCACTCCTTCACAAATATATACCAAATAAGAGGCATTCAACTCGGCACTAAAGCAAAAAAGAAAAAAATATTTTTTTTGGTAAGAAAATTTTAAGAGGAATATTTGGATGTTGTTGCCAATAATGGGCTTTGAAGAATTAAGAGAGAAGAACAAAAGGAGAGAAATAGAGAAAAATTAATGGAGTCTTTTAAAGTTGGGGAAAAAGGTTGAATTTTAAATAATTAGTTGGTTTTGTAACTTAATTACAATTCAAGTTTCAACAAGTAAAAAAAGTTTCACAAATTGTAAAAAGTTGGAAAAAAAGTTTTACAATTTGTAAAAAGTTGGAAAAAAAGCTTTACAATTTGTAAAAGGTTGGAAAAAAGTTTTACAATTTGTAAAAGGTTGGAAAAAAAGTTTTACAATTTGTAAAAAGTTGGAAAAGTTTCACAAATTGTAAAAGGTTGGAAAACAAGTTTTACAATTTGTAAAAAGTTGGAAAGAAAAGTTGAAAAAAGTTTAATTTTTTAATATGTATTTAAGTTTTGTATTTTATTTACAATTCAAGTTGCAACAAAAAGTTGGATTTTTAATTAATTTACAAATTGTAAAAAGTTGAATAAAAAATTTTTTAAATTAATTTTTACAATCTTAAGTTTGTAAAAATATCCAAGTTTATTTCCTTAAAACTTTTAGCATTTTCCCACTATTTTCTCCCTACATAATTTGGAGCAATATTCTTTTATAAATTACTTTGCGTTAAAAAGCATAGGCCAGACAAAAAAACTAAACAAAAACATTGGGCAAGCTAATATAATACATATATTCTTTTATGCCAACGGCCACCAGGATATAATTAAGGGCAAAAAAGTGAAAAAGGAAATGAGCAATGGAAGGGGAAGAAAGGCAAAAATGAAAGGAAAATACACACAAAACTCATTGAAAGGGAGGTTATTGGGCTGTAATTGCCTGTCGCTTGCCTTACAAGGAGGGAAAAAAATATAAATGTTGAGGGAATTAGTTAAGGGGGAAGGATAACATCGCCCCCTATAAAAGAAAGGAAATAAATTAAAAAAGAGGAGAAAAAAAATAAAAAAAAAGTAGCGGCTAATTGTAGAGAAGAATAAATGTAGGAATATATATTAAGTAATTCCTTTTCCACTCGAATTGCCTTAAGGGCATAAAGTAATTCTACAAGGGGCAAAAATTTGGGTTTGTGTTAGTGTTTACAATTAAGCGGTGTTGAAAAATAAAACTTGTGTCAAATTGGTAAATTTAAAAAAGGTCAAATATGTAAAAAGGACAAGAAGTCAGAGTAAAAAATGTCAAAAGTCAAAATTGCTAATGTCAGAATGTCAACATTCGAAGGGTTAGAATTTTTGGAATGAAAAGACTTGGACTGGTAAGGGGATCAAAATGGTCAATAATTTAAACCGGTCAGAAGTCGAAAATAAAATGGTCAAAGCTAAAAATTAGGGTTGTTGGCGACCGGTTTTAAAACCGGAATTTTTGAAATTTTTTGACAAAAATTAACCGTTTTTAAAAAATTTTAAAAACCGAAAACCGGAAATTTGTGAAAATGAGTGATTTTATTTAAAATTCCCCCAAAAATAAACCGGTATTTGCCTAAACCTCAAAACCGAAAACCGGGTTCCTAAAATTTAGATTAACCGAAAACCGGGGGTACCGGTTAATAACCGGTCGCCAACAACCCTACTAAAAATGTTAAAAATAAGAGGATCAAGACTCAAATGTCAAAATAATTTTAAAATTAAAGAAAAATTAGTCGGAAACATCAAAACCCGAAAAAATAAACTTTCCAGATGTTAAATAAAAAAAGAAAAAAATCTAAATAAAAGCTTTAATAAAAATAAGTTAAGAGAGTGTTCCCGTTCCTTCTCTCCTCTACTTATTTATTTGGCGCCAGTCGAAGAAAAAATAAAAATTAAAAAGAAAAATGGATTATTTAAAAGATGAATAAACTAAAATAAAAGTAAATTTAAAGAAGCGACGACACCAATAAATGTGGGAAAATTGGAAAAAATGCTAGAAAATAAAAGAAGTTTTTTTGTTAAAAAAGAAAATGAAGAATTGAGAAGTTTGGAGGGGGAAATAAAAAATAAAAAAATAAAAATGTGTGTTCATGCTTGGCGGCTTTTTTTCTATCCGATACAAACCCAATTTTGAATGGCATCGCTTTTCTTTAAAAAAAAAATAAAAATAAGGAGGAATTTTAGTAGAAAATTAAAAGAAGAAAGAAAAAAATGGACGGATATGTCAAGTTTGTAAAAATAAAAAATAAAATTAATGGGGGTTATAAAAGTAAATAAAGGAGAATATTAAAGCATAGAGGAGGAACTGAATAATCGAGGTTTCTTCGGTCAGGTCAGGGCGCATATGGAAAAAAAATTTCCGCAGCCGCAATCCGCAATTTTAATTTTAAAATCCGCAAACGCAATCCGCAAGTCAAAGACCCAGCCCTTGTTCGAGTACGAATAAAAGAAAGTTTTACATAGAAGGAGAACGGACACTTGATATTACTACAGAGATTGAGTGAATTTATCGAAGAAAAAAAGGTCTGACCATTATGTACATTTTTTAAAAAGTTGGATTGGTTGGGGGAGGGGAATGATTTAAGTTATCGAAAAAGGATGATGAAAAGGGAAGATAATGAGGAAGAGGATGAATACAAGAAAAATAAAGATGATAAGCCAGGAAATGATAAAAACGTTGAAAAACATAAAGGAAGGGAATGTTCGAGGCTTTTAAGCTTTTAAAAAAATTTCTTCAAAAAAAAATTTTTGAAGAAAAATTTTCTTCAAAAAACCCAATTAAAAAATTAAAAATTGTGTGTGTAAATGAAAAGAGGTTTTTCAATTTTATTTTTTTCTTTTTCATTTTTCTCTCCACAAACAAACACAAAATCGTTGTCGTTAAAGTCAATCACCAATAATAAAATAAAATAAAAATATTTTTTTCTACAACAACAACAAAGTGAGAAAAAAAATTTTTTTTATTTATTTATGATCGATTAACATTTACTCCAAATATCTTGTCGTTTATTTAATTTTTTTTGTGTGTTTGTCTTCCTAAAAATAAAAAAAAAATTTTTTCTTCTAAGAGAAGGGTAAAAAGAGTCGCGCAAAATGGTGTGTAGATTAAATAAAATATTTTATTAAATAAATACCAATCAAAAAGTGCATTGAAGCGATAAAAATAGAGAAGAAATAAAAGAAGAAGAGTACAAGGGAAGGAGGTAATTTTTAGTTAATTTCTGACAACTACTTGTAAAAATAATAAAAAGAAATTGAAAGAAAGAAAAAGTGTTTTGAGATTGGTTAATTAGATAATAAAAAAATAAGAAAAGAATGATGATAGGACTGAAAGAAAAAATTTTTTAGCAGGCTCAACTGGTATTTTTAGGGGGCTATTTGAGTATAACTTTATTGAAGTTATAGTGTTAGTTTCCAAAAAAACCTAGAATGTAAAAGTTTCACAAAACTCGATAAACAATAGTTTGAAATAGAAACCGGACTAGAGGGGTCGCTATGAGAATCGTATAAGATGTCTTTTAGAAAACCTTTAGATACCCGAGAGTTTAGTTCAAAATTAGGGGTGAAGTTTTCGAATCGTGCCAATTTTTCGGGTATCATTTTCTGCCGAAATAGACTGGTCGATTCATGTTCGGACCAAATAAAGAAATGACCCAAATAGACTAAAATAAAGCATTATTTGAGTATTGGATATTCTCCCATTTTTTTAAGTGAATCCCCCCCCCCCCCCCCTAGATCCTCCTTTGATATTTTTTATATAATTTTTAGTTATAAGTTTAAATAAATTTAAATAAATAGAATAAATAAATTATTTTTTTAAATCCCTATCAAAATTCTTTTAATTTCCTCAAAAGAATTGTTCATCTTTTCATCCCCCCATTTACTCCAATCTGTTTGTGCTAATAATTCCAAAGCTAAATTAATTTGTTTTTCTTCTTCTTCTTCTATTAGAAGACTAAAAGCTTCGAATAATTGAGAGGCTACTTTTTCTCGAATTGCAGCATAGGGGGAGGTTTGTAATGAAAAAAGAAGCTGAAAAATGTTAAAAGGTTAGTTGAGTCTGGCCGGAAAATTTTTTAAAATTTTCCAAAAATTTTTCAAAAAATTTTTTTTTAATTTCCTAAAATTTTCAGAAGATTTTGTCAGGCCTTAAAATTTAAAAATTCCCTCAGCTTTATCTATATCAATTAAAAATACACTAACCGCATTTAACGAATTTTTATACAATTTACTGTCAGATGGCAATTGAAGTAAACAACCCAAAGCAGAAACTGCTTCTAATTTAACTTTTGGTTTTCCTTTACTTGTAGCTAACTTTAAAAGAGAAAAAATAGAAAATAAAAAAAAATTTTTTAAAGGATTGTCTCATGTCTGAACCTGGACCGGTGTGTGTTTTTGGAAGCAGAGATGCACGAAAAATACGAATTTTGCTCTCAACGAAACAAAAAATTAGTCATTATACGAAACGAAAATTAAAAAAAATTTTTTTGACCAAAAACAAAACAAAACTTTTCGCGTTTTCTCTATTTGGAAGTTCGTATAAATATTAATACACGGGAGCAGGCCAAGATACCGCTAGCCCAAGGTACCTATAGAGCAGGGCTGGGCGAAATCTAGAAAAAAAATGCGAAACTTTTCGCTCCAAAAAAGGCGAGAATGCGAAGGATGCGAAACGTGAAATAAGCCCAGCCCTGCTATACAGCTATAACTTCGTTCAAAATTGTAGAAACCAGGACGCCCTGGTATGGTTCGAGATTCAGCTCGTAGAGGCCATATAACCGTACAAAGGCGTCCCGGATTCGTCAATTCTGCAGATAAAATATGTGTAGCTCTGCGGTACCTTGGGGGAGTATCCATTAATATTCATAATCAGAGCAGATTGAAATTTTTTTTTGTTAAGCCTACACGAGTATAAGGGTTTCGGGTAGGCTTAAAAATTAATTTTTTTTTTACCTTATAAATTAATTTATAAAAATTTGAAAAAATAATTGAATCATCCGGCTTTTCTTCCAAACATTTAAGCTGCCCATCATTAAATAACATTCGAAATAAAATGAGTATAGGTGTTGGATCAATTTGACGTTCAGACATTTTTGTATTAATTAAAAGTAAATTGTTGAGGAAATTCTCGATAAACTTTTGAAAAAAAATTTTTGTTAAATTTATTTTTTCAGTAAAATAGTAGGGTCTCGGTAGGGTTCAAAACAATAGGGGGGGTTCTCGGTTCAGAAAAAGAACAGAAAAGAAAATCTTGTAGTTAGCAAATCAAGCATGGGATTTTAAATCTGAAAAGTTATCCAAGTTTCCAAAACCCAAATTTTTGATTTCGGGAAGGAACCAAAGATTTTTCGGGTAAGTTATCCCATTATAATGGACTAAAAAGCTCTCTAATTTCGTATACATTTTATTTATTTAAAAAAAATTTTTTTTTATTATCATCACCTTTATATCCTTTTTATGAGGTTTTAAATATGAGACAATAGCAAGAAATGCATTTTCCATTGTCCAAGCACAAACACTTCCTTTTTAAATAAATAAAAATTCAAAATTTTTTTAAAGTTTTTAAAAATTTTTTTAAAAAATTTCAAAAAAAATTATTGAAAATTAAAAAAAAAATTTTCTTCATTTACCAGCAGAAAGCACAAATCCAGATAATGCAAAATTACCATATGTTGTAGAATTTAATAATAAAGATAGCCGTTCAAAACCTTTAGAAGTTAACCAATCTTTACTTGAAAATTCTTTATTATTTTTGTCTTCTTTATTTTTAAAATAAAATATTTTTTCAAGTAAATTAAATTCTTGAATATACAAATGTAATGAATGATTATTGCCATCAATTGAAGTTACCAATTTTGTAAGTACATTACTTGCTTTCTACAAAAAAATTTTTTTGTTGAAGAAAAAGTTTTTGTGGGTGCTAAGGAGAGGTCGGTCGGTATTCCGATTTCCAAAAATTTAGGCTGATTTCCGAGTTCCGACTTTTGGCCGAAATTCCGATTTCCGACAGTTCCGATTTCCAACACCTTTGTCATTTCCGACCGACACTCGTGCTAAAGAGAAGGAGGTTGTTGCCGGCACAGTCTTCGTTATATACAATGACCGTGCAATCACCGGGCATGGTCTTCTTCTTAAGACCGTCCCCGGCCAAAATATTCCTTTGAATTCTTCTTAAAAATTATTCTTAAAAAATACTCCTTTGAATATTTTTTACTCTTAAAAATGACTTAATCTCCTTATGGGTTTTCAACTTTTAAGTAATGTAATTAAATCCATATTTAATATTCGAGCCTAATTTTTGGGCTCATTAGAGGTTCCTTAGATTTTTTTACCTGACGTAAATCATCAATAGATTCACAAGCTCTCTCAATAACTTTTCCAATAGATAAATTTAATTGTTCTTGTAAAATTAAAATTTTCCCTTCTTCATTAACTATTAAAGGCAACAATTCCCCAATTCCTTCAATTGCCGCCCTTCTACAAAATCTTCCAATATTTCCATTTGTTGTTGTTGTGTAATCATCACTTGATTTATTTAAAGAATCAAATATTTTTTGCCAACAAATTTTTTGAGAATATAATAAATTTTTTGAAGATGATGTAGAGAGATTTATTAAAACTGTAACTAAAGTTTCTATTGCAGCAACTCTTGCAAATACCCATTTTGGTGTTTTTTGGCTTTAAAAATTAAAAAAAATTTTTTTAAGAAAAATTTTTTATAAATAAACCCAGCTTTCCTTTTCTTTATTAAGTGGAAAAAATAATTCCAAAAAATTTTGAAAATTGCCCACAAAAAATTAAAAATAAACAGCCCATCCAGGGGTCGTAGAATAAGAAATATCTCCCCAATAAGGTTGGCGGATCCAAATATCCATGTAAAAAGGCTAGCATGCTCACCAAAAATTTGGGGAAATAATTTCCACTTTTTAAAAATTTTTTCAATTTTCAATTTACGATTTTCGAGGATTCTTTTTTCTTTCGATTTTCAAATTTTTGAAGAATATTTTCGATTTCGATATTTATGAAATATTTTCGATTTACGATTTTCGAAGATTTTTCAGTTTCGAAACATCTCTGCACCTAACCACTTCTTATTCTACGCCACATGGGCTATTTAATAATTTAAGAAAAAATATTGCCCACAATATTTACATCAGAAAAAAGATCCCAGGATCAAGTTCTCTATATCCAAGTATTTTTCTCTTTAAAGAAAATAAACTTACTCAAGAATAACAACAATTAATTTTTCAATTACTACATTTAATAATAATAATTCTTTTTGGTCTTTATAATCAAAATTAATATCCAAAAATTCTGGTAATAAAAATGCAAGTGGACGAATATTGCAACAACAAAGTGATTCTGTTGTTTGGTTTGATTTTTCTATCTAGAAAAAAATTATTTTCTTGAAAATTCTTCAAAAAATTTTGAAAAAATTTCAGAACCTATTAAAAAATTTTCTAAAAATTAAAAAAAAATTTGAAAAAAATTTTTTTGAAAAATTTCAGAATCTATTGAAAAAAAATCAAAATTTTTTTCAAAAAAATTTTGAAAAAAATTTTTTTGAAATTTTTTTGAAAAAAACCCTAAATTTTAGCTTTGAAAAATCCAAAAAAAATTAAAAAAAATTTTCAAAAATTTTTCCTCCTCCACAAACCTCTGGAAAATATTTATTTCTTAACCTATTCAATAATTGATCAAGATTATTTCCTCTATAATAAGCCATCAAACTTGGAAATGCTTGTTGGGCATAAATTGATAATTGATTGTTTTCTTCACCAATTACAGCATCCAAAATATTGTGAAATTTATTAAGCTTCAAAAAATTTTTTTAATCAATTTTAACAGGCATTCCCATAGAGAAGATTTTTGTAAATTTAAATTAAATAGACAAAACAATCATTTTTAGTTTAATAATAGGGTTGTTCACGGTTGATTAACCGAACAGGAACCGAAAACGGGGGATTCGGTTAATAACCGGTACCCTATTCAAAAAGTAATACTCTCATTCACATTAAATCGTTTTCCTGTTTTCCCCTGTTTCTGTTTTGCCCTGTTTCAAACAATGTCTCGAAAAAATTTTACAACTTCTTTGAATGTGAAAAATGAAGGGTCTCTTCGGTTCGGAACCAATAACCCAGGGATTTTCGAGTCGATTATTCGGTATGGTTCGGTTCCAGATAAATCGAATAATCGAAGACATAACCTTGTGGAAAGACAAAAACAACATTTGTTTGCTAAAAAGTACAGTCCTTTCAAAGTCTTAAAAGTCCTCTAAAGCCCCTCCACGTTAAGTTGAGGGGGACTTTTGACATTTTGACATAAAATTTTTAATAGCACTTATTAAACCTATTAAATGGAAACACAAAACCAAAAATTAAAAAGAAAAACCTGTTCAACATCCAAAACACATTCAATTGTACAAAGAGCTCGAATAATTCTACACAACGATTTTGCATTGAGTGAAAAACCCTTTTTGCGATGGTCATTTAATTGGATTGAATTGACATTAATTGCTTCGAACAGTAAAGCTAAATATTTTTTGAGCACTAGGAAAATAAAAATAAATTAAAATAAATTTAAAAAATATAATATAAAAATCACCAGTCAAAGCCACAAATACTCCCTTGGGGACAAAAAATCGAAAATAAAAATAAGGGGTATCTTAAATTGATGAAATATTTCTTAGGCAACTCTCACATCGACCCAATGGCTAACCAAATTTAAATATATCCTAAATTAATATGTAAAAAACACAAAAAACGCCCTATACATATTTGAGGGTATCTAAAAAGCAGAAGTTTTAAAATCGGTAGTCTAAAAAAGTCAAATCCGGATATCTGAGGGATTTCCTAGTTTAAGCCAACCATCACACTGGGAGTATTAAAAAAGAAGGTTCAACTAGAGATTAGAAGAATAAATTTAAAATAAATCCAAAATTAAATTTATAGGAAAAACCTTGCTCTCTTCGAGAAGATAATGCTTCGAGTAACCCAGCAACAGCAAAAAACGCCCCATGTTTTTCATTTAAATCCAAAGAATTTAATCTTTTAAATAATTTTGGAAGCAACTAAAAATATAAATTTTTTAGAAAAAAATTTGGAGAAAAACTCTTCAAAGAAACCTCATTTTCGGAATATTCAAAATCAAAAGGTGCCAATTTTTGTAAAGCTTCAGCAGCCAATTCTCTTATAGATTCATCCCAATGTTGGCATTTCAACTCAACTAAATGATCAAGCATTGGCTGGACATATTCGGGAAATTTAGCAACCTAAAATTTAAAATTTTTGACAAAATGAAATATTTTCCACTGTTGGACATTTCGAAAATCTGTCATTTTGAAATAAATTTTTTTTTTCAAATCCAGAGAAAACCCCGGAGTCCGGTCCGGAATTTGAGTAAATTCAGCCGGACTCCGCAAATTATTTTTACTGGACTAAAGCCAGACAGGATTAATCCTGAAAAATTCGGCCGGATCCGCTCCGCCATGAGTGTGAAATCCAAAATTCGGTTTCCGGGCTCGGAAAAATGAAAAATGATTTTGCCGGTCACTATTAAAAACCAAAAAATTTCCCATTGTCATAAGACTCTTTCAAACCTCAACAGATATTTCCAAATAGCAATGCTTTATCCTTGCAATTTCACCAAAATCGATCAACTGGAGTACCGGAATGCCATGAGGAAAAGAATCGTTGCGGCCAACATTTTCCTTTAAAGAAAAAAATCTTTTTTAATTTTAACGAATATTTAAAAAACTTGAAATGAAGCACTAGCCGCCCTTCTAACATTAACTTCTCGATCAAATAAAGCAATTGAAATTAAAGTTCCCGCAAGAGGTTTTAAATGTTGTCGAAGAAATTTTGCCTAAATTTTTATAAGAAATTTATATTAATAAGAAAGTCAGGTCAAAATTTTTTAGAAGAGCCTAAAAACCTCAGCAAAAGAAATCAAGCAGCTTAAAACCCCCGGCAATATCACAGGACAGAAAGTAAAAAATTTTTTCGTCCGCAAAAAACTTGCGGACAGAATTTTGCGGACATTTTTTTAAAATATACCCTACCCCGTCCGCAAAAAACTTGCGGACATTTTTGAACGTAATTTAAACCTCCACTTAAGTAAAAAATTTTTCCAAGACCCCAAAAACAATTTAAAGATAACCTCGTAAGCTCTAGCAAATGCCCAACATATATAACAAGAAGCATCTCTAATATTTAAAGCTAGCACACTACCAACTTGGTTTGAATCAAAAATTAGAGAACGTGAAAGTACGAGTGAAATAGCCTTAAAAATTTTTTTTTCAAATTTTTCTAAATTTTTAGAAAACCTTTGGAACTTGTTCAGGCAACAGACATCCACGACGACAAAGTTCAGCTAATACCAAACATCCACCCATCCAAGAACTAGCAACATTTGAGTCTGTTTTGTCTTCAAAAATGTCTTTAAAAATTGACGAGACGACTTGGGCTGCCATCTTAAAAAAATTAAAAAAATTTCTATCAGGTAGGCCTGTCTGTTCTCTGTCTCCAATTAAAAAACAAGGAAAAAAGACAAGTTTCAGTCATAAAACAAACGCCACTCCTGCCGTTTAAGGCGCCGCAGTTCTCTGACCGTTATGAGTCCATAATTATGGCCCCAGTTTTAAATTGTCCCACGTCATACTTTTGAAAAATGTTATTCGGGAACAATTAATTTTATTGCATAATAGGAAAATTACAAGTACCCAACGTACAGCAGAGCTTTAACTTCGTTCAAAATGGTCGAATCCGGGACGCCTTGATATGGTTCAATGCAACTCGACGAGCTGAATTGAACCATATCAATGCGTCCCGGATTCGACCATTTTGAACGAAGTTAGAGCTCTGGTGAACTGCGGCCCCGGCTTAAACGGCAGGAGTGCCAAACAAATTATCCGTCTCAACATAAAAAGGGAGTAGATCTAGGCCAAAAAGTTCAGTCGTCTCCTAATCAAGGTTTGAATAGGTTCTCCCTCTAAAGTCTTTTGCCCATTTATAATGAAAATTAAAGCCTCAAGGACCCAAAAAAATATAAAAAATTAAAACCTCCAAAGGAATCCGAGCACATATTCTAGCTATTCCTTTAGCACTTGTCCATCTAACCAAATTGTCTCGATCATGCAATTTTAGCAAAAGTTGCCCCAAAATTATTTCAATCAAGTCATAAGGAATATCACTGTCATCACCATCATTTTGAGAGTTATCCTTTTCATTTGCATGGGTTTTCGTATCTATTTATATCAAAAAATTTAGTTTTTGTGGCAAGAGATTTTTCAATCTACTACTTTTCGGACTATATATGGGCAAGAGGTGGGCTATCCATACCTAAAAGAGAAATCTAGTAAAGATTGAAGGTGAGGTAAGTCTAGCTCCGGGCAGATATCTCCTGCTACCTACTCCTTCTGACAGGTATTGCTAAAAGTAAGCTATTTTGCTTACTACGTACCTGAGGTTGGTCGGAATTCTGATTTCCAAAAAGTTAGGCGGATTTACGATTTTTTAGCCATTTCCGATTTCCGACAGTTCCAAATTCCCGGCACCTTCGCCATTCCGACCAAACTCTGATACGTACAAGTTCTTCTACCGTCTGTTCTAGTGCAAGGATGCTGGTTTCACCTTCAATTTTTAGTCCTTCTAAACCCCTATACCTAGTAAGAGGCTAGCTAGTTAAACGCTAACCTGTTGGACAGCCCTTAGTTTTTTACAAAAAATTCTTTTTAAATTTAAAAACCTTGTAAAGACGTCGCAGAATCCATTTTTAAATTTCTATCTCTCTTTAAAGTTTCCTCAATAGAACGATAACCACAACGATAACGCCAACTAGCAAGTTTTGGACGAAGCAGAACAAGTGAAATTCTTTGTAAAAGTTTTGAAATTAAATGGCGAACCAAAATATTTGGGCATTGGGAAAATAAAAAACTTGAAAAGAGAAAAAAATTTTTTTCAGAAATTTAAAAAAAAAACTCTTTTGAAAGTGAAGAAAAAAGTTGTTCAGTAAATGGTTTAATATCTCTTCTACGGCCCTGAAAAATATAAGAAAATAATAAATGTTTTAAAAATTTATTTTATAGGCAAAAATTCCCCCAAAAAAATAAATTAAAGTAGAAATTAGACTGCCAAAAAAATTCCAAAAAAATATTATTATTTTTGGCACAATTTTTTAAAAATATTTTTTGAATAATTTTAGAAGACTCATCTCCGTTTTAGTCATTAATAAAAAAAATATTTTTCAATTCAATCCAAAAAATAGAATTTTCATTAAATTGTGCGTCAGTTTACAGACCCAGATGATAACGCCAACCAAAATATTTGGACATTGAGAAAATGAAAACCTTGAAACTCTTTAAAGTTTCCTTTATACAACAATAACGCCAACTAGCAAATTTTTGGAAATTCTCCCGAAGCCAAGAGAAATTTTAATTTTTTTGCGGACAGCACATTTGCGGACAAACTATGGCAATAGATTCGATAACCTAATGGTACATTCAGGCTTGTAGCCATGGGCCGAAATTCTCAAAAAAAATTTTTTTGAGAATCTCGGCCTATAGCTACGGACCATAATGGACCATTAAGTTATCGGATCTATTGCCACCGTTCGTTTGTCCGCAAATATTTGTCCGCAAAAATATTTTATTTTAATGAAAAAATATACCCATTTCAGTAAAGCATTGGCCAAAGCTAATTGATTAATTAATTGACGTCCACCATCCTTTTCACTTTGAAATTTGTCAAAAACATCTTGAAAATTTAAAAAACGAGTTTCCAAAGCTTTGGTATTGACTGGCGCTCTAGTTAATATTTGGGCTAGTAAAGTTGGGACGACTGACTGAAAAAAATGTCTTTTTGAAAAAGTAAGAAAAAAGAGAAAGGCTGAGGCCGATTTTCAGTTTTTGAGTTTGATCAGCTTTGGATGCCAATTCCTCGGTTATAGCTGATTAAGTAACCACACCAGTTTTCAAATCCGATTTGGATGACCTACCGCTATTTATCCTAATATGTAGAATTTATTTCGTCATGGATTCCTCCATAATCATGGAGGAAATCCATTTTTCTTTGAACCAACTTTTTTCTTTGTAGGAAAACACCTATAATTTTTGTTATTTCTCGAGTTTGATATTTCGACTTGGTTTTTGAAGGGTTTTGGTATTTCAGAAAAATTATTGAAATCATGGAAATTATTTTCTGAGTTTGGTATTTCGGCGATTTTTTGAGGAGGGGGCTTGATATTACGGCGCTATCCCTTACACTTTCAAATAATTTTCAAAAAAATATAAACAAACCAATGCTCCATCAACAATTTCACTTTTCAAAATTTCATCTAAACAATTCACAATATTTTCAGCAAAAGAAGAAGAATTTGTTGTTTTTGTTGTTGTTACATCATTCCTCGAATAACGCAATTCTAAATTGAAAGGATTTTTGCAAATTAACATTAACCAGATAACAAGCATTTGAATTAATATTTTGTTTAAAAATTTGTCTTCTTTGGGACATGTTGGCATTTTTGTTATTAAATGTTGAAGACAGGAAAGGATTGGGTCGAGTAATTCAAACTTGAAAAATTGAGAGAATTAATTAAAAAACTAAAAAAGGAAAGCCTCAAAGTTAAGCGACAACTAAAGTTGACGGTTCCGGATCAAGGCTGTCCGAAATTAAATAAAATTTCCGCAATTCGCTACTGCGGACAGCTCTGTTCCGGATTTAAAGATTTTCCAGATACCAAACTCCAAAAAATTTTTTTTGGAAAATTTTGAAAATTTTTAATGGGTGACCCTGACAATAATAAACTTTATAAGGACATATTCCAGTAGTCCATAAAAGGCACAAGAGAATTTAAAGGTAATTAAAGTGAATAGAGGATATTATCGATAGAAAACCCCATTGACGATTTTGGTGTTTTTTCACACAAATACGATCCAAAAGCCGTTGGGAATAAATTTTTTCATTGAAAAGGGTCAACAAGATGCCTACCCTTGCCAACAAAAAATAAATTCTAGAGCGAGTGGCTAAAGAACTTTCACTAAAGCTGGAGATGGGAATGCAGAAAATACCCAAATTTGAAAAAAAATATTTAAAAAGAACCTCATGCGGAAGAAGCCTCATTAAAAACTTGTAACCACGAACAAGACATAAAATACGTAGGTAAGTCAGCGCCACAATGCTTGAATTGTCTAAAATTGGGAGTTCATCAGGTAAAGGCCATCTGATTTGTTTAACTAGTGCAGCTACCAAATCATTCAATGCTGGGTCCAAAAGTTGGGGTTCATCTCCGTAAAGTTCAACAAGTCGTTGGAATTGTTCCAAATTCTATTAAGATAAAAAAATAATTTTTAGAACTAACCAAAGGAATTTTAAGGGAATTAGAAATAAAAAACCTAAAAATCTAGCAAATATACATTTGCGGACAAAACTTGCGGACATCTGCTCTCAAGGTATAAAATTTAAAGAACAACAATCTTGTTTTCTCAAAAAGAAAGATGAAAACTGAACACAGAATTTATCTTTATTCTCCGAAAATGTCTCTAATCCCAAAACCAAATTCAACCTTCAAAAATTTTCTATTCTAGTTTTCCCTTTTTCAATAAACAAAGTCGCATCCAGGGGTCGGAATTTATAGGGGAGAGGGGATGAAACTGAAATGGGGACGAGTTAAATTTTAGAAGACTATAAGCAGAAAAATTTACTTTTAGATCATCGTCTCCCAATTGTTTTTTCACCGAATTTCAAGGAGAGGCTAAAGCCAAAACCTGGACGCTCCCCTCTCAGTAAATCAACTAACCACCGGAAAAAGCCCCTCCATTTAAAATCTAAAAACTTTAAGTAACCTTTTCTTCGCTAGATTTTGCTGTTTCATTTGAAATCTGCGAAACTAAAAACTTCAATTTAGACACATGCTCATCTTCAAGGTGAATTGGTGTACATCCAACAAGACAAGAAGTATCCATTCTTATCTTAAAACAATTGATTGGTCTAAATGTTTAAGAAAAAGCAAGTTTAATTTGATAACAATAAAGTATTTTAGGTGTTTAATGCCTTTAAAAATCCGCAAAAACTTGCGCAAGTTGCGGACGTCCGCAAAAAAATTTGCGGACAAATCGAGAATTTTTTTGCGGACGTTTAGAAAAGACTGAACTAAGGGAAGGAATGAACTAGGCACTTGAACCATCCAAAACCACAAAAAGATTCAAAATTAGTCGCTAACGGAGACAAGAAATGAATAAAGTTTTTTGCGGATTTTAGGCAAATACACCATAAATTAAAAAAATTTAAAAAATTTTGTCAACAATAAATTTACTCAGAAAAATCATTTAACAATTTAACACACATTTTTAATTTTCTTATCCAAAAGCCTTCCTTTCTTTTCCCTCATATTCCCAATTCATTTAAAGTTTCAGCTTTGTGCGGCGCCAATGACGACGTTTTGCATTATAGCGTATACGACTGCCAGTCTTCATTCGAACCCTGAAAAAAAGAGAGGTTATAAAAAAGGGAAGAATTGAGATTTTGATTGTCTAACAAACTTTAATTGAAAATGGAAGGTCTCTCCCGGAATGGTTACTAGAGATCGAGATCGGTCCGGCACGTTTTATCTCGCCAAAAGCTTGTCTTGCCAAACCCCCAAAAGCTGTTGACTCGCCAAACCGTGGAAAAAAGCTTGTCTTGCCAAACCCCCAAAAGCTGTTGACTCGCCAAACCGTGGAAAAAAGCTTGTTTCGCCAAACCCCCAAAAGCTGTTGAATTGCCAAACCGTGGTAAAAAGCTTGTCTTGCCAAACACCCAAAAGCTGTTGAATTGCCAAACTGTAGAAAAATTTTATAAAACTCCTCTTTGTGTATAATATAATCCTCCTCCAAAATCCTTCATAATACAAAGTGTGGAAACCTCTCACATAATGCCTACGCGGAAAAAAGTTTTTGCCGCTGCGGAGGAAGCCGGGCATGTCGAGCGGAACGACGGCCGCCGCTTCGCTACGGTCGCCGCGAGCGAAGCGAGCACGACCGCAGCGAAGCACGGCCATCGTGTAGCGAAGACCATGCCCGGCCTACCCTCCGTAGCAGCACAAAAACAGTTTTTCCAGCGAAGATTCAGTTGGTTATAATTCGGTTCAGAATCATCCAACCGAGCTGATTTTGGTGTCATTCGACTCAGCTCGTCGAGCACTTTCGAATGAGGTATCCTCTGTATAATCGAATTTTTGAACCCAAAAATCAGCCTGGCACGAAAACAGTTTTTCCAGCGAAGACTAAAAACCAACAGGCTAAAAGCAACAGGTTATTCCACCGCGAGGTAAATAATAAAAAATTCCACAGTTTTATTAACAAATTGAATAATAATAAGTTTTGGTATTTATTTGGCAAAACAAGCTTTTTTCCACGGTTTGGCAATTCAACAGCTTTTGGGGGTTTGGCGAAACAAGCTTTTTTCCACGGTTTGGCGAGTCAACAGCTTTTTGGGGTTTGGCGAAACAAGCTTTTGGCGAGTCAAGCTTTGGCAAGTCAAGCTTTTGGCGAGTCAAGCTTTGGCGAGTCAAGCTTTTGGCGAGATAACACGATACCAGATCGGTCTGGTCCAATGCCTGGGGTTTTCCTGTACCCAGAGTCCAGGTTTAGGCATTTTTAACCTTCCTGGGGTTTTCCTGGGCCTGTGGTTTTCCTGGACAACAGGTCTAATGGTCACATAGAAACATCGATGTGTATTAAAAGGGCCAAGTCCAGACATTTTTTATTCAGCTACTGGCTAGACATGGATTCAGATTTTAGCCAAGTCAAAAAAACCACAACTTCTAGTGACCCAAAATGGGAGTCCTATCCCCTTACTAGCCTCTCTTAAATATTCAATCAAATCATCCACGTAAAAATAAACAGTCAGGAAACCTAAAAATCATTTAACCTCAAAACCTCCCAAGTCTAAACCTCGCTCCAAAGCCTCAAACTTTAAAAAAAATTAAAAAAAACCATTGCGGCAGCGGTCGATTTTGTTTAGCAGCTTTAGCCAGCTTGCGCTTGATAATAAACGTTTTGTGTGCAGCCATTAAATTGTTGACTTTATCCAAACTTTTTTTGAAGGCAATAAACAAATTTGAATTTTTATCTAAAAAAGAGAAGGGAAATTGATTAAACACAAAAATTTAAGGAAAAATATTGACAAATAGAGACAAAATCATTACCAAGATACAAGATAAAACTCAATTCTGAGCTAAATTTTGACTACCAAACCCGACAAAAAATGAAAAAATTTTAACGATTTTCTATTAAGAAATGGGGTACAGCCCAAAACGGCGCGCGGCCATAACGGCGCAAAGTCATAACTTGCTGAAAAATTTCTGGCACTTATCAATTTTGGTACCAATCTCTTTAACTCGATGAGAGGAATCGTTTAATACCAAATTTGGTAAAATTCGGAAATCTTAAAGCAAGTTATGGCTTTGCGCCGTTATGGCAGCGCGCCGTTTCGGGCGTGTCACCAAAAAACAAAGTTTACCATTTCCAATCCAAAAATTACCAAAATGAAATAAAAGTTGACAAAATGAAATATAAAAACATTTCGCCAAACTGATAATTTTTGTTTGTTTGAAAAGAAGAGACCTTTAGGTTAAACTTTATCGAACACAAAAAAATGTGAAACAATAAAATAAAAACTCCTGGATCCATAGGATCTCTTGAAGAGTTACGTTATACGGACAGTAAGAAAGGGTAAAAAATACAAAAGGTGATTTAAATAAAATAAATGTCTGTCAAAAAAAATAGTTGCGCGCAATTTATCAAACTCCAAAAAAGTATACAATTCAATGATAAAGAATGAAACTCAAACGGGTAAACATTGTTCGAGTCCTTGTGTGGTAGGTAGGTACTAGAGTGGGACATGACCGGTTAAGCCCGGTTAATTTTTCCCGGTGGCGGGTCAAATAGAGATTTCCAAAAGTAAAGACGAGAATTACGCGTCGCCACGGGGAAGAACTAAACGGCAGTGAAGTTGTGCCTCACTCTAGTAAATACCATATTAACTCTAATTGAATGCCCGGCTATTCTACTTTTCAATCATCCTTCAAAGAGGCATTCAATTAGAACTAATACGGTCATGTAGGGTTGTTACCATCGGATACGGGGAGGCAGGTCAAGAGGTACATACTTATTTTTCCTTCTCACATCAGCAAATCATGCTTTTTGGCGTTTTCCACCTTCGATTGGTGTACGGAATTTTCGTCCCCATCGGAATATTCGTCACCAAGTCAAAAAACGGAATATTGGTCACTGGAATTTTAGGCGCAAGGAATTGAGGGCGTCGGAGTGTTTTTATGTCCTCGTCAAGGATATAATTTACAAGCGAGTAAATAAAGATGGATAACAACCCTAATGGATAGGAACAACCCGAAATAAGCCTACAGTAAAATTCAGACTAGTTTTTCTAATAATTTCTTGAACGGTTCAAGTACATCTATAAAGTGCTGCGCTTTTTCTAGCACTCGTATTGGCACTTCTTTCAACACATCATAAAGAATCTCTGCTAAATTGTGTTCTGTTGCCTCTGAATTCTTGTACTTTTTAACCACTAAAAGTGCATTCTCAACTGCCCATCGACCTTAAAATTTTAAATAAGTATTGCAAGTGGAGATCCAACGTCTCTAGCATTTGAAACGCTTAATAAGCGAAGAATCCTAATGGAAACCCGCTCAAATTAGATCCCTTGAAAATAAGTGCCATGGACTTCTATTAGGACATACATAAATCTTAAATCGGCAGGTTCCTGCAATACATGGTGAGAAAAAGATCGCAAGATCGACCTGCTTGGAGCTATGTAAACCTTAATCCCTTTGTTGCTATATTAAATGTCCAACGTCTCAAACCCTTTCTCCTTAAGTTTTTTAAAATTGCTGCCTTAATGGATCTTCCTATTACACTTTTAAATAAGCTTGCCTGTGCTCATTCCACTAAGCGTCTTAAAATGTGGACTTGTATTTGCATCACCTACAGCCACAACAATTGCCGAATCCTTAGTTCCTTGAATCTGTTTGACTGGATTCTCAACTCCTTTAATTTGAACCCAAAATGTGTTTGTATTTATGCTGTTTTTGTCAAATTTAAGAATATATTTTTCTTCTCCATCAATATCCATGTTACTTTTATACTTCTCCTCCTCCTCTTCTTCTTCTTCAACATGCCAAACTACTTTATCTTTATTTATAACAGAATTGGCATATTTAAAAAGAGCTCTGGCCCATTTTCTTTGCAATTTCCCAAAGAAAGCGTGATGCATTAACAATTTCTTATTATTCTCTCTCAATAACCGTACACTTCCACTTGCATTTCTTTTTCTGACAAGCTCATTTCCTATCTTTTTAAATTCCTCAACAAAATCAACCAATGCCGGAGGCGTATTTGTTGACATATACAGGAGCGTATTTGTCTCAAACAGGCATATATTTTCCCCAAAAACATCCTCTTTTACAACCTCAACATGTACTTTAGGACCTCCTCTTCCTCTCTTCTCCCCCCTTTTATGGTCTATCCCGCAAATTTTGTCTGTCAAATCGACATACTTTCGTCTAAGTGCAGCATAAGGAAGAAATTCAGACTTTTTTAACAAGTCATCCAGTCCCTCTTCTTTTATAGACTCATGCATTTCAACAATAGGGTTGGTAAAGGCGTGGGCACCATTAACGACATCTTTGCTTATAGCTTTTTTGTTGAAAATTGTAACGCCGTAGTTTACAGCTTTTGTCAACTCTTGTGGTTCTCCTAGGATTGATTTAAATTTAAGAAAAGTCATTCTGATAGTGTAAGGTGTAAGATCCAGGGATACACCCAAAGGTACCCCTGGATCCGAATCCCTGGATCCGCAAGCCCAAGGTACCACAGAGCTATAACCTTGTTTAGAATTGTCAAATCCTGTACGACCTGGTATGGTTCAATTCATCTCGTCCTGGCGCATTGAACCATACCAGGGAGTCCCGGATTCAAAAATTCTGACCGAAGTTATAGCTCTGCGGTACCTTGGCCTGCTCCCAAGATCCAGCTGGCTTGCATTTAAAACGCCTACTAGGCTGGGTTTAGGATCCATTAGAAGAGAGGGTGAAAGCAGCGCCCCGGTAGCTCAGTCGGTAGAGCACCTTTACGTGGTGAGCGAAAGCTCCTAGCAATAACTTCCATGTCGCTGTATCGATGCCTGTCCGGAGCTTCATTTTTCATAGCGTTAGGGGCACCACCGAGACACAACCTCAGTAAAGGTCCCATGCCGGTCCCTTGCCCTCTTATTTTTAAAATCTCCAAAATTAAACAAAAACTACCCAAAATTTTATCACGTATTTTATCATTTGCACCACCAGCACAGAAAAGAAGATCAAAATGTATCCCCACTTTTTTACTTCCAATTTTAGTTTTATTCAACCCCTTTGCTCGAAAAGCTGAAATAATTTCATCGGGTATCAACTCGTTCGAATTGTGTTGATTTTCACGAACACCAACAACAACTATCGGTTTATCATAATTTTCATATAAAACACCCAAAACTGCAATTTCATAAATTAAATTCAAAAATGATTTTTCTCCCTCATTTTTCACTTCATTTTTCTCTTCGCTTTCCTTCTCTTCTACAAAATTTGATATTTTCTTTAACCGCCCCATTAATGCAAGTTCCATATCTTTAATGCTAATTAAAACAAGCTCTTCATCAAGCATTTTTCCCACTGAGTTTTGATGAATAAACAATCTATCAAATTCGGTACCAAAAAAGAAACGCAACTGTGAAACCCATTTTCGATCAAAAATGACGAGTTGATTGCGGATATAATTTTCGGACCGATCATTAATGACTGTTACATTCATTCCATCTGAAAATAAAAAAAATTTTTGTGTAGGGAAATTTTCGTGGGTGGACACCATTTACAAAGACTAATTTGCGGTGAAACCAAATTTGTATCAGGATTGAGCCAACCCGATTCCCGAAAATTAGGAATTGATGACGATTTTAGCCCGATTTCCGAATTGGGAATTTTCGTTTTATGTCGGCGCGAGCCCTGGCCCTATTAACAACAGGTAATTAAAAAGCTACCAGGTTAACCAACAAATGTTTTGCACGATAGAAACACAACTGTACTTAAATTTAATTTGTCTGTTGGTTGCTGTCAACAACTGCCTTAAAGTGACTAAAAGCTAGCGCTTTTATACTACACAACTTAGTTGAATTTAAATTGACAATTGGTCGTCTGACCCTCATAAGTGGCTAAAAACAGGCGCTTTTATACTATCTAACAGAACCCTTAATTGCCATACCAACAAAACTTGTCTTACCAAGAAAAAGTTTGTAGGTAGAATATAACCCAATGGGACCAGCACCTTCCACGACCGCATTTTTGTATTCTTTCATTTTATTTTTCTGAGTTTTATTTTTCAAATGCTCCCTATAAATTTCTTCATTTATTTCTTCATCCAATTTTCTCGTCTGAATTTTTGACAGCTCAAAAATCGTTTCCAACTCTTTCATTTCCGGATTTTTCATAAAAGAGAATATATCAACAAAGGAGCCTACAGCCCCCTCAGAGTTTAAATCTCTTATAAATTTTTTGGATTCGATCACTAGCTTGAGTAGTTGATTGATTTTGGTAGTTGAAGTTGGAACGTCTGTTTTTGATTTGAAATAGTCGATTCCTACATTGAAAAAATTTTTTTGTTGCTTTTATAGTATTATATGTTAATGCTGTGAAAAATTCATTGGAAGGGAGATAGAATAGAACCATCATGGAAAGAGCCCAGACCGAAGCACAACCGACTTTCTGCAAGTGTGGACACAACACTTTTTAGTTTTTTTTTCTATTTTCTAACAACCTTTATCTTCTCTCACTTCCCCACAATTCATGGTCGCACTCGTCTTGCGACAGAAAAGAGTAAGAGGAAAAGAGGAGAGAAAGTCACACGCGACACGTAGCATAGTGGAATGGCAGCTGCTTTTCAAAACGCTACTCCCTGACAGCTTAACTAATTGCTATTGGAAAAATTGGAAAAGAGAAAATACGGTATTGCTTTCATGCCGTGAAAAATTTTCACAGCGCTTAAGACGGATTAAACAATCTTAGAATTAGCCCAACCCAACTGTAGTAAGGACATAACAATCCTTTTTCTAATTTTAATATTTACAATCGGCACCTTGTTTATATACCCCCCCCCTCCACATTTGAGTCTCAAATTAATTTCTTTTATTATTTTCTGCCTCTGAATGGTCAAATTTCCTTCTCTATAAAAGTTAATTTTTGCCGTTAGGTAGATTTTACCGCTCCTTTCTATTTTTTCCTTACCTTGCCTTCTACTTATAAATCAGGGGTGTGCCGAAACGGATTTTAAAAAGCGAAACGCGAAATGCGAAAAGCGAAAGTCCAAAAAAGGCGAAAATCCGCGAAAAGCGAAATGCGAAAAGCGAAATTCTTAAAAAATTTTCCGGTATGATGGGAAATCTCTAGAGATTTGTCAACTCAGTGCTTTGTTGCAAATCAAGGCCTCAACTGAGTCTTACAATAGGATTTTGACGGGCATCAGGAATATCAAGAGATTTGAGGGAATACAGACATAAGCCAGACAAACTTATGAAATGGTTCTTCCGTTTTTAGCGCGGCAGGCAAAATTTTTTTGAATTTTGGAAGTCCTTGAGCCAGATTTCTTCTCTTTTCTGCGCCGCAGGCGAAAATTTTGAGAATTTTGAGGAGAAAAGAAGCCAGTTTTCTTCCTTTTTTTGCGCCGCAGGCGAAAATTTTGAGAATTTTGGAGGTTTTCAATTTATTCGAGCCTCATTTTTTCTCCAAATTTACCATCTTTCACCTGTCATTAGGGGGTGTATAAAACTTTCGCATTTCGCGCAAAAAGCGAAACGCGAAAAGCGAAAGTCATTCAAAAAAAGCGACACGCGAAAAGCGAAATGCGAAAGTCCAAAAAAGGCGAAAATCCGCGAAAAGCGAAATGCGAAACTCGCACACCCCTGTTATAAATGTTCGAGGCAATCAAATTGACAGTAGAAAAAGGAAAATTTATCTGAGACTCAAATAGAGGGTGGGGCGGGATATGAACAAAGGACCAAGTTACCTATAGTTTTAAATATATCGTCTGCAGTTTTCGAATAGTATTCCTTCAAAACTTTCTTCACAAATTTCACAAAGCCGTTTCCACATGTGTAACTTTCAAAATTATGCTTAAAACCTTCAACCTTAGCTTTAAGCGTTTGAACAGAATTTTCGAATACTTTGAAATTTTCTTCTGTCAATTTTTGGTCGTTCAACACATTCTCTTTGTTTTTCAAAATATATTCATACTCCTCGTATTGAATCACATCATTCGATTGTGTGCTACCTCCAGACCTTGCAATGTTGATTAATGACTTTTCGCGCCAATCTTTTAGGCCTTCCTCTATAAAACAAAAATTTAAAAAAAAACTTTCCTCCTTACCCCCACGGGAAACAAGGATAAAAGAAAAGTCAAATTTTGGGTAATTTTGAGAGGCCCTTCTCGCCCAATTCTACGCTTACATAAAACTAACGCGCGCGTTGAGAGAGGAAATACATATGTATGTATAATGAAAAGAAGAGAGCAAATTCGCACGCGATTTGTCGCTTTACGAGTGCTTAATAAAAATTTTTCCCGACAAGATTCTATTGAAGATACCGATTTTACGTAAACACAAAGCAGAATATGATACATCTATTGCCGAGTGTCTGCTGCAAGACGCTTGGCAATCCCTATATAAGCGTAGTCTAAGGCGGCGGAGCCGGATCCAAAAATCCTGTCTCATTTTTCCGAAGTGAAACATTTTGTGGTGTTCGATATTTTCAAATAGCCGGGCCTACCGGGGGAAGGCTACCAAAAGAAAAAAAAGCTACGAGAGCTAAAAAAAAGCTACCAAAGCAACCAAAAGCTACCCCGGGGAAACTCCATAAAATCTAATTTTATTACTCGGTTTTCAGGCTACCAGGCCCGAAAAACCCTGCCCGGCCCCTGTCAAACTCTAATTTATATTGCCCCCACCTTCATTAAATTTGTATCGTTTTGTTGTATCAGTTGACGGGAACGTAGCAAACGCAAGATTGTTTTGTATTGTTGTGGGTTTTTCAGCTCCATATTTATCAAAAATAGAAATCAGAATCAAAGCAAGACAAACAAGATTAGAAGACAGAAACAACATTTTTGTTTTGTCTACCATTCTCTCGTTTTTATACGCTCTCTCTCCTGTCTTTTTGAATATTCTCTTTTTTTGGCAAAATGTATATATTTTTTTAAATGAGAGATTGAATACAAAATTTAATTTTTTGGCTAGAAAAATAAATAAATGAGAGGGGGAATTAGCTATAAGACTTGTAGCTAGAAATGGGGAAGAGGGGAGTGTTTAAATAAAATCTCAGCTGACGCTTCTTTCCATCGATTCGCAGCGCGAGATTCTACAAGGCAAAAAATAATTTAATGGCAGGTCTTGAATCATGAGTTTTTCTTTAAATAAAATAAAAACAGGCAGTTAGGGCCTTATAAAACAGGCAGTTAGGGCCTTATAAAACTTTTTTTTCGAGTTTCTTCTTTTTTCTTGTGTGCCTAGTTTTTTGTAGACAAAAATGGAAGCGTTATAAGGGCTATAAGGATTTTCAAAATTTTGCATGCGGCGCTATAAGGAGGAAGCCCTGATCTGAATATCTTGCTATCGAGGAGCGGCTCGGAAAACCCTAGGCCCAGCTCCCTTTTAATTCATCCAAATCCCCCTTCCTTGAATCCTTCCCTCAATTCTCCAAATCACAGGAAATCCTCCGTAATCCCCCGGTATCTCTTAAATCGCATTAAACCCTTCAAATCCCATGATATCTACGGTATCCCTCCAACTATCCCTCCAACCCCTAATATCACAAAATCGATACAGCAATACCTGCTGACACTTAGCACTAACGTATCACTAACGGATTCATTCTATTACCGTTGAACCTCTTGTTAAAGGATATTAAATTAGTGAGTCTAGCCCTGTAAGACACGATGGATGGGGTAGACTCTCCGCTAAATGAATGAGCGGAGAGTCTATACGACTTATTAATGCTGGCAGAGAGTAGACATAAATAAGAAAATAAAAATAAATGCTGTATAAATTATCTCCTAATGCGGTGTTTACGTAAAAAGCGTCTTGCGTTTTGCGGCAAAAAATAGTATTCAAAAAAAGGAGAGACAAAATCGCGTCTCATTCCAAATGCTATTTTTGCCGCAAAACTGAAGACGCTTTTTATGTAACCACAGCATAATGAAGGGGTTTCCTCCTCTCCTCCTAATGAAGGGGTTTCTACTACCCATCCTCCTCCTAATGAAGGGGTTTCTACTGCCCCTCCTGCCTAATGGAAGGGGTTTCCACTACCCATCCCCCTCCTCCCAAGTGGAAGGGTACCGGTCTCGTTACTACAGGACCGTATTTTCATGTATTTTCCTAAAGTTCGAAAATCGTCTTTATCCCCGCGAGTTGGCCGGATACAAAACTTGACGTTATATCTACAGAATATCCGCATTATCCGTTATAGTATTTGTCTAAAATATATCGGGAAGCACTCCAGTTAATACTGGAAAGCACCGATCTCGTTACTACAGGCTGGTATTTTCATGTGTTTTCCTAACCGTGCTTTTCTGATCGACACTTTCCTAACCATGCCTAACACTAGTCGAATATATTTATTTTGCTATAATTTCCTATGAATGGATGGATTTAATAAAAACAAATTTTAATAAAAATAATTTTTGACGTTTGTTTCCTAAACAGACAAACACTTGCATTTTAAACGCACTTTAAATGTACTCTGTCAGATCTCAATTTTATGCACTCTCTAATCCCTTGAGAAAATAAAAAATCGTATCACTTAAGCGGCTCCTTTCAACTTTTGCTTAAATGAGTTTTACGTCTTTCCGGAAGAAAATAGCACTGAAAAAAGAGAGACGAGACTCTGTCTCTTTTTTCAAAGCTATTTTCTTTCCCTCAAACCGCTATTAACGCTAATACAGTAACATACAGTATACATTTAAAAAATTTTTAAAACCTTTGGAATTTTTTAAAATTTCTTATAAAATTTTTTTTAATTTTTAAAAAAATGGAGTTTATAAAATAAATTGAAAAATGTATATAAAATTAAAAATAGGCTAGTCTCCACTTATAAATTGAAGGGCAGACAAATTGATTAAATCGCTGACATGTGAATAATTTTAAAATTTCATAATTATATATTCTCAAGACTGCCTATTTGTTAGAAATTCTTTTAGCTATTCCCTATAAGAAGGTCACAAGTCTGTAACAAGTTGTCTAAAACAAGGTCATTTTTGTTTAACAAACAAGCAACTTTTGGGGGTTTTGATTGAATCAAGGACGTCTCTCTTTTCGAGAAATGGCGGAACCTCGGTTTTAGTGCCTCTTTTGAAGATAAAAAATGAATAAAATTAAAAATGGCCTCCCTTTATAAATTGAAAGGCAGACAAATTGAATGAGGAAGTAGTGATGTTCGAAACTCTCGGTCTCGGTTCCTGAGTCGGGAAATTTCCCCTCTCTATAATATAATTTACTTTTTAAAATTTTTGAGTGGTTAATGGTGAACAATGTATAGGCGCAGGAGACAACCAAGAAAAACACAACGCCATAATCGGATTCAGCTAGTGGGTGGGTGGATGGCAAACGGATTAGGCAGTGGTTTTTGGAAAGAAGGCGCCCTAGATCGAAAACTTCAGTCTAACATAATTTTTCATAACGCAACCACATCTAGCGGGAATGTGTCGTTGTAACAACACTTTTCCATACACCAATTATAAAATAAATTTAAATTTATAAAAAACGAATTTAAACTTTTCTTCGTAAATAATGTTTGTTGTAAATATAAATTTGGTTTATGCCTAGATTTTTTTTCAAAGTAATTTTCGAAAAAAATTTTTTAAAGGCATATACCTTAATAAAATAATAACAAATTTTTTTGGAGGAGGAAGGGGTATGTAAATGAGTAAATACAATGAATAAACATTTTTGTGTCTGAATATATTAGGTCCAAAGCTAGAAGAGAAGAAAGAATATTTTTTATACTTGAGCATCCCTTTCTAACAGAGGTGGGTCGGAACAGTCAGAGGTGTCGGAAATCGGAAATATGGAAATCGGAACTGGCTCAAAAGTTTGAACTCGGAAATCGGAAATGAACATGTTTTCCGGAAATCGGAAGGGAAAAAACGCCGGAAATCGGAATTCCGACCCACCTCTGCTCTCTAATTAAACGGTCCTATCCCCAATCCAAAGGAATTTTAGGATTCGAAGGAGCCGAATCTCTTTTCTAATTGAAAACCCATCTTCAAACTGTCCAAATTAGATAGAAAAATTAAAAGATGAAGAGGGGAGGGAGCCTTTATATAAAAAGAAGTTTAGGGGAAGGATAACCTTGTCAAGAAAAAAAATTTTTTGGGGGGAAAAATCCAAAAATAAAATTATATACACTTTAAAAATATTTTTTTCCCCCAAAAAAATTTTTTTCTCCCGAAAATTTTCTCTCAAAAAAATTGTTTTTCTTCTTCTTTCTCTAACTATACAGACCTTCATTTAAAATAAAAATTATTGTTGGCTTAAAAAATTTATAAAAACAAATATGCGTGAAAATTAACTTCCATTTTCCTTAATTTAAATATAGAAAGAAATAATATATTTTTAAAAAAGAAAAGTGATATAAAAAATAAATAACAAACCAAAGAAAGGAGCTATAGAAAATCCTTGTGCAAATAAAAAAAACAATAAAAAAGGATTTTTTTTAAAAACCAGACCAAATTAAAAAAAAAGTTTTTTTTTAAATTTTTTTAAATAATAAATTTTGTCGGCGGCTATGGTTTTATTAGGGAAGTCTGCGCCCAATAAAAATTATTAAACTTTTAATGCCCAGACATTGATTCGTTCCCATTTGTATTTTAATGGATGATTTTATACTTTTTTATACTTTTTGTATTTTCTTTCATATTACCATTAGGGCTGATCGAAATTTCGTTTGTTAAGGAACGAAACAAAAAAAATTTTTTTATTTAGTTTCGAAACAAAATGACCTAAATTCCGAACGAAACAAAAAAAAAACAAAAAAGTGACCCACTAATAACGGGAATTTATAGAAATAATCATTAAATTTTTTTAGCGATTTCTGTTACCACCTATGATTAGTTAGACACTCAAACTCATATAAAGAGTCTCAAAATTAAATTAATTTTTTTAAACTTTCTTGCCAGACAAGAGAGATAGAGACGTTTTCGTGTCAATCAGAAAATATTAAGGTTATTTGCGAACAGGTTAAAAAAAGCAAAAAAGGGGGACCCCAACAGGACTAAAAAATATCTTTATTTGTCAATCAACCGGAAAGAGATTGACAGAAAAATTTAAAAAAAAGAAGTCTTATAGACAAGAAAAATCATTCTCTCCGTTGTGCAACAGTAAAGAAATTAATTTTAAGACTCAAATAGGAGGGGGAGGATATAAATAAAATAAGGGAGCACTATTTTATTATGGTTACCGTTTCCGAGTCGGACCGTACGAGAGTCTTTTTTGGGCAAATATCTTTTGCCCGACTCGATCTTTCGGTTCGAGTCGATCCATTTTGGCAACCCTAATAATTATCTTTGGGACCAGTTTTCAATGGGATTCGAATTTTTTAAAATTTCCAGATCTAAAATTAACAAAATTTTTCCCAACAAAGACTCGTAAATCCCCAACGAGACGCATGCCCTAAAAACTAGAAAGCCATTTCCAAACATAAAATTTTTCAAGTCCAGTTTTTTTAAAAAAGAGAAAAAAAACATACAGAATTTTTTTGGTTGTTAAATATAATTTTCTTAAAAAAAAGTTTTTTTATATAGAATAATATTTATATAATCCCGGTCAGTGTGTGCCTTTTAATTTTTGTTTGTTTGTTGCTGTTTCTATTTTACTTGTTGTTGGGGTCTTTTTCTACGTCTTCGTCGAAAACAGCAACATCTTTTAATTTTTTTATATAAAAATTAAAAAAAAATTTTTTGGCTTTATATGGAGAGGGGATAAGAGAAAGAATGATCCAGTTTAGAGATTGAATCTCAAAAAATCTCAATAATCGTTAAAATCCCCTTGCGTCTTGCGACTAAAATTATAGAAAAAATGGAGAGGCAATTTTGCCTCTTCTAATTTTATTCTTTATCCCTTCTTAAGGATGAACCGGGATGAGAAAAGATGGGTTAAATTGGATTTCTAAAAGAAAGTCATATTGTTTTAGTAGGGATGTAAGCAGGCCCGTAGCCAGGATTTTTTTTCGGGGGGGGGGGGGGGGCAAGGGGGGAAATTTTGTTAAATTTCAGAGGCAAAGGGATGCATGCCAAAAAAATTCACTTTTTTGCCCCAGCCCTTCCCCAAATTTTTTCCTTTTCCCCATTTCGGGGAGGGGGGGGGGGAATTTACCCCTGGCTACGGGCCTGGATGTAAGTCTGTCCCTTTTGTCTGCTATTATTTAGTAAAGAACCGAAAATCGGACTTTAGTGATCGACCAAAAATCTCGGCTTCGATAACCCAGACCTTTGAACAATATTTCCACTAAAATAGATACATGGTTCCATCCACAACTTCCTATAAAATCGAAACGAACCGAGGTTATTCTCAAAAATTTTTTTGATTTAAGAAAAAAACCAACTTGACTTCACTATGACTCTCACTATTGATTTTTTGCGCTTGTCGCGCCCCATCACCAATAGTCTCTTCAATCTCGCCGGCATTTGAATTGATAACCTTTTTTTGAAAAAATATAAAAATTAAAATTAAAGGAAAATTTATACTTAAGGAAAATTTAATTAAAAATTTCTCTTGGTATGTATTTTTGAGGATAATGCCTTGCCATTCAGGGACAGTAGAACCAGAACTATACAAATTTGTCAAAAAAAAAGTTAGAAACACCATTGACCAAAACAATTCGAATTTTTGAAATTAACAAGGGCCACTATCGAAATGTATGTATTATTTTTAGGGTTCTTGGAAAATTTTAGGATATCCGGAACCGACCAGAAAAATCATCGTTCTTTGATATCATTTGATAGAGCAAAATACTGGAAGGTTGGAGCAACTGTCTAAGCAACTTTATTCTTGGGTCAAAAATAATAGGTTATCAACTATGCTCTCATACGAAAACATACAGTTCCATAGTGTTCCCCATTGTAAGGAAGTACTGCTTGAACGTGTGGTCCTTTTCTAAAAACTGCCCAGTTTTGGAACAACGAACAACCTTTTGTCAGCCCCCTCCCCCCAAATTTTTTTTATTTTCACATCCCTAACAAAACCGAAAAGAAAACCTGCGTAGATCCAAATCCAGCACCTCCATGGTGTATACCCCCACCAGTGGTTGTACTACTAACTAATTGAGCATTTGGCTTCAAAACTTCTTCAATTAACTGTTTATTTGCAGATGAACGCTTTTTTTGTTCATGAAGTCGATGATGACCATCACCTCCACCTGCCATTCCACTAACTCCTGCGTGAAGAGAACCACTTGGTGTAGCCTTAAAAAATTTTTAGTTAAAAGTTTTAAGGAAGCTCTACAAGCTCTGTAGGGAAGGAACAAGCTTACAAGTCAAAAGGAGCAAGTTCGAAATAGTTACCCCTGCCCCATGGGATTGTATCACCATAAATTTTCCTCAAGAAGGTCACCTAGTAGATGGACAACCCTAATTTGTCTCAATCGTTCTAATAAGAAGTAAACCAGATGTAATTGTAATAAATTTAAAGACGAGAACCAAGCACCCGGGTATAGAGAGTAGGCCAGAAATGGACTTCGCTGCATCAACAACGGATCAAGAGAACATCCTATTAACATTATCAAAGCTAATATGATGGTCGAATAATGCACGTATCGAAATCCCGGGTTTTGAGCGATCGAACATAAAATCTACTTTAAAAATAAAAACTAACTGCTTGATTCAATTTATGCACCCAATCAAATTCATAATCATAAGAATGGCACATTCGTTCCAAAACTGCTTTAAACAATCCATAGCAATATTCATAATCTGGCGTCTCAAAAAAGTCTAAACGGCGAGAATAACGAAGGTATTGAGCAAACTCCTCTAAAAAATTTTTAAAAATAACAAAAATTCGGTAATATTGAATCTGACAGCCCCCATTTTCTTTTCACATTTTTAGTTAATTATGTACAAAATAGGCAAACTTTTTCCTTTCATCCATCCCACTTACTATATTTTGCCTACAATCGATCACAAAGGATCATTTAATTTTATGTAAGTGCAAGTATATGCAAAACAAGTTGAGGAGGATTAATTTTTGGCATTTAACATGTACGAGAGTTGTTAGAAGACTCATTTTCACAATTAAAAAAAATGGAACAACTTAAGGAATTTGGATGGAAAAAAGAAAAAAAAGTTTGACCATTCTGTAGATATTTAGGAAAAAACTTGGGGAGGAAAAATGGGGTCTATCAGGTTCAATATTACCAAAAATCCCCTTCCAAAAAACCTGGGAATCCTTCACAAAGAACTTCAATAGGAGTTGCCCTCTTTGTATCACCAATTTTTTGATATCGCTCTTTCAATGTGTCAGCTTTCAAGCCTTGCCAAGGAAGCGAACCACGAAGAAAGTACATAAACATATGCCCCAATGCTTCCAAATCATCTCTTCGACTCTGTTCTTTACCCAAATGTGTGTTGATAGACATATACCGTGCTGTTCCAGTTAAAGATTTGTGCTCTCTATAGGCTATGTGTTTTCCTAGAAAAATTGAGAAAATTAAAAATAGCCAAAACAATTTTAAATAGATGGATCTCAACATAAGATTGGTGAACCGTCTGAACAAACAATCCAAAGGTGTAACCCTTCCTCACTCATCCACGACAGCCAAATCATAGAGACCAAACAGAAATCTGCGGGTGGGCAAATCACCGAAAAAAGTAAATTAATGCCCACAATCAGTTGGGGGACATAAGCAAAAGGCTGCACACGATATGAAGGGCACGCGTAGATCCAAATCGAACCTACTCCGACGTAGGAATACAACTTGCTTGGATTTTTGAAACCAAGACGTACAAGTAAGGTGATGTAAATATAGTTAAAGCCCCTAGAAAGAGCCTCGCTCTGGAAAGAACTGCGACCCATACGAACGACCAGCAATCTTAAAGTTCAGACGGATGGTCGTACCGCAGGTGAGTTAAAAAAATACAAAATTAAAAAAATCAAATACCAGTATCACAGTCAATATATTCTTTAGCTAGGCCAAAATCAATAATATGTAAAATGTGTTGTTTTCGAGTCGAACTTCGCCCAATTAAAAAGTTTTCTGGTTTAACGTCTCGATAAATTAAATGCTTGGAATGGACATATTCTATCCGCCTTATCTTTAAAAAAATTTCTTGAAAAAATTAAAAAATTTTAAAACAAACCAATTGCATCGCAACCATACAAACACATTTTAAAGTAAATTTTCTGTCACACAAATCAAAAAGGTCTTCTAATGAATGACTTAATAATTCCATAACTAATGCATTGTATTTTCCACAGGGACCAAAATAGTGAACTTGAGGGAGGCCTTCTGAAAAAATTGAAAAATGGTATGAGGAAATATATTTAATAGGATACGGTGCAGGGAACGCGCCGACAGAAAATCAAATTCCCGAAATTCGGGAATCGTGAATTCACAAAAAATTTCGAATTCACGATTTTCGGGAATCGGGTTGGCGCGATCCCTGGTAGTGCAACTTTGAATCCACAAAATTAAAGCATAAAAGGGAAGGAAAAGAATCCAACTTTAGTGGTGTCGGAAATAGAGATCGAATTGGGCCGGGCAGTACCCTTTTCCTTTATCCAGAGAACTCAAATAAGGCATCTTTTGAAGTTTCTGAGGGCGTGGAAAGGAGGGAGGGGGTCAAAAAGCCTATGGGGTTTCCGAATTCTATGTTCGAGGTAAACAAACCAAGTACATAGATCAGACCCAAACTTGGAAACTTTCGATCATTTCGAAAAGCCTCGGTCAGACGAAAAGACACAAAAGTAACCCGTTAAGATTAGAACTTAATTTTAGATCGCTATCTAACCATTTATATAGAAAACAAACCTAGAAATAATAAACTCCCCCAAAAGGATTCGAGGTACTTGTGAGTTATCCCAAACCAGTTTCTGCGGATAGCGATCTAAAGTTAAGTTCAAGCCACTACCAAATTAAATCGGGGTCGCTTTAGTATAGCTACACCGAGATCGGAACTCAAAATATATACCATTCGATTCGTCTCGCCGAGCTGAGTTCAAATATGCAAGAATTTTCTGCGGGACGCGAAAACTCGCAGAGATATAGGCCCCCGAAAATCGAAAAACCATAGGGGGAGTAAGCTGATTTTTGGGGTCAAAAATTCGAATATGCATATTATACCTCATTCGAAAGAGCTCGTCGAGCTGAGTCGAATGACACCAAAATCAACGAAATCCGACTTCATATGGCCGAATTACAGACACCCGAAGTTCGAAAATTTTTGGGGGGCGATTTTTGGAATAAAAAATTTTTTATACAAATAATATCTCATTCGAAAGAGCTCGACGAGCTGAGTCGAAAGACACCAAAATCACCGTGATTGAACAAGATTAGACAAAGTTATAACACAAAAAACATAAACCTATGGAGCGTCGGCGAGGCGCTTGTGCAAAACCCCGCGCTTCGCGCGGGGTTTTGCGGCACGCGCCTCGCGGGGAGTCTACGGGCGCTGGGTCTGGGCACGTAAGATAAACCTATTCCTATCTCACTTGCTCTGGACGTATTTGGGGCCTCCGTAACAGCAAAAATCTCCACAGATGATATAGGTAAGGAGCTAAAATAAAAGATCATAACTTTGTCCATTCAAGTCGGATTTCATTGATTTTGGTGTCATTCGACTCAGCTCGAGGAGCTTTTTCGAATGAGGTATCATTTGTATATTCGAATTTTTGACCCCAAAAATCAGTTTACTCCCCCCTGTGGTTTTTCGATATTCGGGGGTCTGTATCTCTGTGAGTTTTCGTCTCCCGCAGAAAATTTTTGCATATTTGAACTCAGCTCGGCAAGACGAATCGAATGGTATATACTTCAAGTTTCGATCTCGGTGTAGCTATACTAAAGAACAGCCATTAAATCCAAAAACCGGTTTGGGATAACTCAAAAGTACCGGATTCTAACCCAACTTGTCAGTCATCTGTTTAAATTACATCAAATAACTACTCCGACAAGAAACTAGTCTTACCCAAATCAAGCTTCTACCAAATTAAATCCACAAACCTGCTAGTCCTAATAATTTATAAAATCGATATTCCAAATGCAATTGAGGCGCTTTACTCTTCATAGGTTCCAATTTAATAGCAACATGTTCGTTGTTGTAAAGGTTTTTGCCTAGTCGAAGTTCGCCAAAATTTCCACAGCCAATTTTCTTTCCGACCTGAATTTATTGTTAGGCTTTTCCGCGCCTCTAAACTTCAAAAAAACCTTAAAATTCGGCCCAACCATAAGAACACCGACAGAGGCCGTTGTAGAATTTGAAGCTGAAGAGCTTGGACCTCTGACTTGACCCGCCATAATTTTCTTTTTGATTTTTCTAAACTAGAAAACGGCTAAATTGAAAGGAAGACGAGAGACGAAATAAGAGTTTGGCACAAAAGTTGGCGTTGTTTTTTGATAATTTTACAACAAAAATATTTTTAAACTGGTGTTGAGAAGGGTACAAGAAAGCCTCGATTAATTGCGGCTTTAAAAAGAAAATTTAATTGTCTGCCTATAAAAGGCTATAAAACTGAAAAGAAAATGTTGAGAGACTTGTAAAAGCACCTGCACGCCAATAAAATGTGTTTTTGGAATTTTTTAGAGTACCCAATGTAAAATTTTTTTATGATTTTTATGGGTAAAGTCGCGTTAAACATATGTTAAAAGGGAATAAACAGGTTATTATGTAATTGGGAGTGATTGTGAGTCATTTTAATTTTGGAGTACAGAGGAAACTTTAGTGGCTTCTACTCTGCTTTTTTAGTTAGTGGAGTCTCTAAATAACGACACAACCCCTGGGGTGAATTTTGAGGACGTAAGAAGGAAGGTATCGTGGGAGAAAGACATGACAAATCTAAGGGTCTGCACGTGCAAATAGGCCGCCGGACCTTGGCAATTGGCAATTCAGACCGGCACCTTAGTAATGCGGACCGCACTGAGGCGCGTATCAAGGTTCAAGACTCGGACATAATTTAATCTCTTGTATTTTTAGGCTCTAATGGGACCTAGGCCAATCAAAAAATCCAGGGATCGAACCTGATCTTTTCACCTTCTTTTCATCTACCTATCATTACACGGACCTTTGTTTTGAAAAAGGGGTAACAAAATAGAGGGGTCATATAAAACAAAGCCTAAAGGAAATGAGTCTAATTAAGACAATAGGGACAATAAAGAGGTCAAGGGGAAGATTTAAGGGAAAAAAGGAAGTTGGAAAATAAGGAAGTTGGGAAAAAGGAAGTTTGTTGATAATAGAAACAACTTGACAAAAACAGGTTCAAAACCATATAAAATTAAATAATCTTAAAAATGGGAGAGTTAATAAACGGAAATGACGAACGATAAAAGGAAACAAAACCCCACACCTTAGAAACAAAAGGACAGAGTGATTCGGCATCTTAAAACATGAAATAATATTTTAATAGTGGAGAGAACTCTTGTGTGTATTAATTATTGACAGACTATATAGTTACATATGAAAAAGAATTAATAAAATGGTGGTTAAGGGCTTCCGTTCACACAACGCTTATAAAGCAAAAGAGGGGGGAATAAGACACTTGAGTCTACTGATAGAATAAATTTTGAGTTTGTTTCTGGGTGAACACGCCCAAGTGGGCGCGCGTCCATAACGGCGCAAAGCCATAACTTGCTGGAAAATTTCTGGCCCCTAACAGTTTTGGTACCATTCTCTTTAGCTCGATGAGAGGAATCGTTTAATACTAAATTTTGTAAGAATCGGAAATTTTGAAGTAAGTTATGGCTTTGCGCCGTTATGGCCGCGCGCCTAATTGGGCTGTACCCGTTTTCTGGGGCTACTTTTCTGTGTTTTGTCAATTTCTGAGTAATTTTGGTATCAATCGGAAGCTCTAAGGGTACGGGTTATTTTCCCTATCAGGTCGAATCGGCTCCGACCAAAATTTATTGAAAATAGGGGCAGCTGAAAATAATGAACGATCGACTCTCTAATGAAGGTCATATCTTATCAGGAGATGCTAGAACCTTATCGGTCCTGTTATCAAAAAGATAAGGCACATTTAGAGCTTCCGATTGATACCAAAATTGCTCGAAAAGGTTGGAAAACAAAAAAGTTGAGCCCCAAAAGGCCTCAGACTCAACCGTCATTACTCAAGAACCCTTCAAGCAACACAAGGAAATCATAAAAGAGAAGGTATAAATTTTTAAATTCCTGAACTTCTCTCTCATGTAAAAATGTGTCTCTTCTCCCTCTTCTGCTGTGGCTGTCCACAACTGCTCTTTTCTTAAAATTATTGTCTAACAATATCCGTTTCTTCAAAGCAGCTGCAAAATAAAGAGAGACAGAAAGGTTTATTGATTGGGGATTTGAAGTTGGTTAGAGTATTGTTTAGAGAAGGTGTATTAGAGTAAATAAGACGAGAATGTAAGTATGCGTGTCGCCACATTTTGCCAACTCCATATTTTGCCAATAAAGCTAGACATTTTGCCAAAAATCTTATTGGCAAAACGTCGCTTTGTACCCTTATTGGCAAAATATTTTCCTTTTGGAGATCTTGAACAGATTAAATCGCCAAAATCCAAAAATGGCAGAGAAAAAATCGAAAATTTTTTTTTAAAAATTTGCTAGACTCTAGTGTCCAATTAATCGATTTATCCGAATAGAAGGAAATACAGCGGTGAAAGAAATAGGAGGAGGGGCAATTTTCAAAATGTCAAAAATCAGGAGGTCATTTAACAAAATAGTTCAAATCTTGGGCAAATCTGACTAGGACAAGTTAAGAAAACTATAAAGTAGTAAAAGGATTTGGTTGATAAATAGGAATCGTCAAAAATGAAAGAAATAAATGCAAAAATGTATTAAGAATTAATCCCTACCTGCGCAATTTGATTAACTTAAAAGGAAGGGCACAGCCCAAATAGGCGCGCGCCATAACGGCGCGAAGCAATAACTTGCTTCAAGATTTCCGAATCTTATCAAATTTAGTATTAAACGATTCCTCTCATCGAGCTAAAGAGATTGGTACCAAAATTGGCAAGTGCCAAAAATTTTCCAGCAAGTTATGGCTCTGCGCCGTTATGGCCCCGCGCCTACTTGGGCGTTCCTAAAGGAAAAATTCCCCCAAGCTGGCAAAATGTCTTTTTGGTCAAATGAAATTTTACACTTTTTTAAATAAATAAATACCGTAATCTAATTAAATTTCGTTTCGAAACATTTTAGTTATTTCACAATTTTTGCAAAAAAATTTTTCCATTTCCGGTCAATCAATGTGTCATTTATTTGTCCTTTTTCTGTTTTAATTTCCTTTTTTAGATTTTAAAGCAAAAAAGTAAATTAAAAAAGCGATTTCAACGATAAAATTAGTGATGGGATCATCCGTTCTTCAAGATTTATTAAAAGACCACATTTCTGAGATTGGCGATTGGAGCGAAATTGTAAACAATCATCAGGTTTATTTTTGTGTTTTGCTGTACTTTTTGTTGATTAGATTTGATTTAAATTTGTTTACGGGGAAAATTTAAGAGTCTGGCCACTCTCGAAAATGGACTGGTTTATTGATTTTCATTTGTCTGTTTTTTGGGTCAACTCTAGGAAAGTGGAGGAAAGCCTGGGCTGCTCCTGGGCTTGTAGTCTTACCCTGTCCCAGGAAAAACTCAAGAAGGTCAAAAAAAGCCTGGACCTGGACTTTTGGTACAGGAAAAACCCAGGGGTTGGTCCAGACCCAGTTCGATCTTTAATTGAAACCGCGCATTGATTTCTTCTGTAATTTGCGATTAGAGTGGAATTGGCGAGCTCTTTCGGATATCATTTAAGTTGTCCATATTCTAGTGTGGCTTGCAATCTTAAGTTTTCCATGTCCTGATTGAATTTAACGGGCATTCCTTATGCTGTATTTACGCAACAATTGCGCGGGTCTTGTGACTTTTTGGATTTAGGGTCACAAACTTGTGGAATATTTTTAATTTGGGTAATCCTAATAGATTCAACTCCTAATTTGTGTTTACTGTCGGCAAATGAGATTTTGATTTTTAAAAGTTGGGACCTGGTCTAATTTTGGAATCCATTGGGTCGGACTTGAGTCTGATCTTTGTCTGGGTGTAAGAAAGGCCCAGTAACTTGCCTGGAATGCAGCTCGGTCTATAGTTTGAGTTCTAATCGATAAAATTTAAAGGAAGACTCTTCAGCTGCCGAATCCTTACGAGCGCGTCAATCATTGTATAATATCAACCTAGATGGCCCCTTCTACATTTTTGTTTCACAAATGCCAACTCATTACAACAGAGAACCAGAGTCTAAAGGGTATCGAAATGATATTTACAATCTTTTTGAGGGTCCAAAAAATGTAAGAATTTTTGTTTTTAAAAATTAATTCAAAAAAATTTTCAGCTCTTGCACGTGCATATATACGGACGCGGATGTTGTATGTTGAGAGCAAAGAATTTTGAAAGTTGTGTTCAAATTCTGAGGAAGGATGGCGAGGTATTTTTTTTATTTTCTTAGGCTGATGAATTTTCTTGGAATTTATGTATGACTTTAGAATTTATGTATAACCCCTTCTATAAGGTGTTATTTTCTCTAAAAATTTTTCCTTGGTTTACACTTTTTATGAAACCTGTTTCTTCGTATTTTTGGATCGTTCCCGAAATTTCTCATTATTTTATTGGCCTTTTTTATTTATCAAACCAATACCTTTCCAACTGTCTCGTGTTACTCATTAAAATTCTGAATGGCTCAGGGTGTGCCAGTATTGAACGGGGGTTGTGCCAGTTTTGTCTTTCGCCATTTCTAGTTTTCAACTTGGTTCATTGTTCGTCTCTCATTTTCTGTTTTGCTTTTTTGTTGTCTTTCACTTTTCACTTAAGTTTCGGCAAACCCCCTTGTATCTGTTTTCTCAAAAACTTCAAAGCGTTCCCCTTTGTGAGTAATAAACTAAAATTTTAAATTTTCAGAATTTCAAAGATAAACCAATGAGGATTGAATACGTCGTTCCAAACGGCGAACACCAATTTAAATATACAAGGTTTACTTCTATCCAATTGGACGCTCAAATGGAAATGTACCAACAAAAACTTTTGAATCCTCCAGAGGGTTTTTTTAATTTTTCAAAAAAAATTTTTTTTTAATAAAATTTTCTCTAGAAAAGGCAAAACCGCCAAAACCAAATCCTTTTGGAGAAGCAAAACCATTAGATATTTCAAAGAAAATGGAAGAAGTTGCTTTGAAAGTACAGGCTGAAAACACTGAAAAAAGACCGCCGACAAAACCTGTTGTTGAAAATCCGCCAAAATATTTTCCTCGAACAATTGAGAGAAGCGGCGGACGCCCACATCCACAACCACATCCACACAAAAATGATAATTATAATAGGTTTATATTTTTAATTTTGAATTTTATTTTTGAATTTATGGGGAATGGCAAATCTTTGGTCCGAAAATCTTTTTAGTTCATTGTTTTAAGTTTGCTTAAGGAATCAAAAATGAAATTCACTAAAATGAGGTTTAGGCACTCGGTTCTAGTTCTCAAATCTTTCATTTTTTGGACCTGTACCAGAGAGGCTGTCTTAAAATTATGTTAAGAAAAAGTTTTGTAACATAATTTTACTCGATTCTTGTTCCAAAATCCTTCATTTTTTGACCAAATTTCACTGATTAGGCTGTAGGATCGAGGCTTACTGAGTATTTTTCGATTGGTTTAATGCCCAAAATTTGGGATACGTCCGAATAGTCGCGCGGCCATAAGGTCGCCAAGCCATAACTTGCTTTAAAATTTCCGAATCTTTCCAAATTTAGTATTAAACGATTCCTCTCATCGAGCTGAAGCGATTGGTACCAAAATTGATAAGGGTCAGAAATTTTTTAGCAAGTTATAGCTTGGCGACCTTATGGCCGCGCGACTATTTGGACTGTACCCCCAAAATTTGCGATTCTTTTCTTCAGTCATTTTCGGATATTTGAAGAATTTTTTAAACTGACAACCTTTAACACTGATCTAAAATTCATTTTAGATTTAAAAAATCAACTAGACGTATGTCAACGATTTTGGAAGAATAGGAGAAAAATAATTTTATTAATAAAATAAAAAATAAATTATAAAAAAATTAAAGGGAAAAATAATTTAATAAAAAGGTAAAAACTTTGGGATGCTTGATTTATTGTCAAAATTTTAAGTGAAAAAAATTTTTTTATCCTCATTATATTCTTTCAACTGGGGAATTGTCGTTCGATTAACCAAAGAAATTTTCCTCCTAAAATTTTTTTCTCTAAAATTTTTTCCTTTAAAAAAATTTAATTTTTAACTTTATTTTAGAGGCACACCCAGAGGTGGAGGAAGAACAGGAGGAGGCGGAGGTGATCATCAACACCATCCACATCAGCAGTACCAACAACATCACCACCACCAAGGACACCAAAAACCATTTCATCCACGAATTTTATCTCATAAAAGCAATGATGGAGAAAATATTAAAGGAAATAATAGCAGTGAAATTGTTGGTGGTAATAAATCCAACATTGAGGAAAATAAAGGAAAAGAGGTTGAAATTAAAAGTGTTGTTGTTGAAAGGGCGGAAAGTGCTACATTAACAACGTCAACGACAGGTTTAATTTTGTTATTGAATTTTCTGAAATTATAATTTTCCGGAAAATATAAAGATAAACTTTTTCCGGAAAATGTATAATAAAGTTAATTCAGAAATATTTCCGGAAAATACAGGTTTAAATTAATTATGGAATTGTTTCCGGAATTCTGATATGTATAATATTTATTTTCCGGAAAATATTTTATAATATACCACTTCTATTAATTCTGAAATTAAATAAACTTTTTCCGGAAAACAAAGTAGTATAACTAACAATATATTTTCTGGAAAATACACATCTTTAGAATAACTCAGAAATTTCAGGTCTATTTCCGGAATGTGTTTTCCGGAAAATTATATAACTATAGTATAGTATAACTCTAATATAATATTTTTCCGGAACAAAGATAAAATCTTTTCCGGAAAATTAGAGTTATCAAATTATAATTATATATTTACTAGGCGGAAGCACTATAACCAATATTACAACCGGAAATACAATTGCTACAACTTCAAATACAAACGGAAATAGAACTAGAATAATAAAGTCTTTTAGCAATACAGTTTCTACTGCAATACAACATCATCAACAACAACAACCTTTAATTAATGAATTACCACAATTACAACAAAAACAAGAACAACAAATAAAACAACAACAACAAAATTTTATTAATAAACAAGAAGAAGAACAACAAATATTGGAAGAAGGTGGAGGAGGAGGGCATGTTTCTTCTTCTATTATTGAAAATAAAAATGTTGTTGTTTCAAATATGGAGAAAAAACCAAATAAAAAGAAGGACAATAAGAAAAGGAAATCAAATAAGAATGTGAGTTTAAAGGGTGTTATAAATGATTATCTTTTTTGATTAAAAAAAATAAATTGAAATGTTGGTTGGATTTTTTTTTGAACTCTAAATTTTTTTTTTGGAATTTTTGGTGTTGACCTCATTAACTTGGTTTGGAACACATATTGAAAAAAATTTCAAAAGGCCGTAAAACGTTTTAGAAAAATTTCCAACATTTCAATTTTTGCTTATTTTGTATATATTAATTAATTTTATTTATTTTACTCAAAAATTATTCAAAATATCTTTATGGGAAGATTTATGTTTTGGGATTTTGACAATCAGAAAAAATTTGCGGGATTTTTTGGGGGTTCTACATATTTAGGATCCACTATTTTCTAAACCTTTGGAAATCTTTATGGGATTTAACATTTATATGTATTTTTTTCTTTTTGAGCCTCAGTTATTTTTCAGTTTAATCTGACCTCAAACTTATTTAAAAAATTTTTATTGTGTATACTTGGGATGTTAGAAAATTAAGAATAAAAGAGACTTTTAAATTACCACATCTCAGACGTCCGTTTGATTTTGCTTGTCGAGATTTATAGAAAAATATTAGGACTTTGGGATGTAAGCCAGGATTCACGCGTGGGTCGCTAGACGCCATAGTGCATCCATGATGCGGCATCTTGGATTTAACTATATGAGCTAAGCTATGTCTCTGCAGTTTTTGTTCTAGCAGTCTGGGTCTTTTAAAGTTATCTGTGTCCTTTAAAGTTATATAGGTCCTTTAAAGTTACCTGAGTCTTTTAAAGTCATATGGGTCTTAAAGTCATGACATCAAAAAAATTCGTAATATTTTTAACATCTCTAAAGTATATACTTTAAATACTTGTATAAATATTATACTATTATATATATTTTGCATTTTTCAATAAAAAATACTAAAAAAAAATTTTCTAAAATTCTTTTTTTATTAATTTTTTAGCAAGGTGGATTCAACAGCCAAAATCGGTACAATGCATTTCTGGATCCTGAATACAATTCTTAAAAAATTTTTATATGTTCGTGTGCTTGGTTGGTTGGTTGATGGTGGGTGTTTGTGTGATGGTCCGCAACATTCTCTCTCTCAAAAAAAATTTTTTTTCTCAAGAATATATGACATCTCTGGATTTGAATGATGCGTTTTTTTTTGCAAATTTTCCTCCCCAATATATTCAAATATAAAAAAAATATTTTTTTTCTCTCCCCAATAAAAAATATATATCCCCAGAATTTTTGTTTTGTTTTACTTATTATTTTTTTGGGCCGTGAAAATTTTTTTTTCTAATTTATAGCGATGAAAATTGGGGTACTTTCACATTATCTGGTATCCATTTTACAAACTAGTCAAGTCAGTAAGGTGTCTAATTGAGGGAGATACCGTATTTTCTCGATTAATTCCCTTCCCTCGAATAATTCCCCATGCTAGAGTTGGGTTCAAACAATAATTCAACACCCTCAAACACACTACCGCACGTTCAAATGCCAAAACTCGAATAATTCCCCTCCCTTGATTAATTCCTCATGCCAAGGAAGGGTTGAAAATATAATTCCCCAGGGGAATTAATCGAGAAAATACGGTAGGCGAGTTCTCCCGAGGAGCTCCCCTTTTCTCCTAAGCTCGGTTTTTGGAAAAATAGATACAGATAGTGTGAAGTAGAGACCGGACTGGGAGGGTCTTACAAGAATCAAGATCGATATTTCGAAAAATCTTGATTCTCGATAACCTAGATTTTTGTTTAAGATCTCATCTCAGTCCGATCTCTAGTATAAAGTACCAAAAAAATTTATTTCCCCCTCCAATTATTATTATTATTTAAAAAATTTTTCTTCTATTTTGTTTGTATTCAATTAAAAAAGCAAAAAAAATTATAAATTATGTTAGGAAATATATTTTTGATTGAAAAATGGACATTATGCCATAGCTTTATTTTTTAGCTAAATGTTTGAAAAGATTTGGAAAGTATAAAAGGGTTTTCCATTAGGTGGTCTATTTTTCTTTTCGTTTCACACAAGAATTTTGGGTACTTTGTTCATATCCCACTCCCACCACTATTTGAGTCTCAGATTAATTTTCGTTTCATTCTGTCAATCCTTAAGTTCCCTCAAACATTTAAGCAAAGGCAAGTTATTAGAAAAGAAAAATAGACAAGAGCAACAAATCAAACTTACGGCAAAAATCAACATACTATATAAAGGAGAAAATTTGACCATTCCGAGGCAGGAAAAAATGAAAGGAAAATTAATCTGATTGTGAGACTCAAATAGGAGTGGGTGTGGTTATTCAAATAGGGTAGGGGTGTGCGGTACACCTCAATTGAGTCCGCACGATTGAGTCCCCACGATTGAGTCCGCACGATTGAGTCCCCACGATTGAGTCCCGGCACAATTGGTGGGGACTCAATCGTGCGGACTCAATCGTGGGGACTCAATCGTGCGGACTCAGTTGAACTGCTCCGGGGGTGTGGAACTAAGACTCTAATAGGGGTAGGGGAACAAAGTACCGAATTTTGTTTTTTCGTATAGCAAAACGAAACCTAAGAAAATTTTTTGGTTCAAAAACAAATGAGGGGGCAAGAATTGGGAAACGAATCGAAATTGGGTTATTTCGTCTAAAAATGACGAATAGTAAAACGAAATTTTGCAAAGTCTAGGTCCTATCAACACCCTTTCCTTAATTTTCCAACTTAAAACTTTAATCGCTTTTTCAGATTTTTAATTAAAAATAATAAAAATGAGTGTCAATACACACTGGCTTTGGGATCATAAAGATTTGGAAGATACTCCTTCAGTTCGAGATGGTGGCATATCTTTGGAAGAAGAAAATAAATTGAGAAGGGAAGGTGTGAAAATGATTAAAAAGATGGGGAAATCTATTAATTTGTTAGTTTCTTTAAAAATTTTAAAGAATTTTTAATTTTAAAGGAGAACGAATCCCACATTGGCCACTGCTTGTGTATTCTTTCATCGATTCTATATGTTCAATACGTTTGCTGAATATCCTACACACGTGAGTTTAAAACATTTTAAAAAATAGTTTGGCTCTAGTCTAGTTTATGAGTCCAATGGAATTGGAATTTCTTGGTTTGCAAAATAGGGCTATTGTTCCGACGATTCTTCACGTTCAGTATCTACGCCTACTGGGTCTGGAACCATTTCTACCCTACTTTCTCAAAGTTTCTCAAGGTTCTAGCCAATTTTTAAAATCTCATAACGAATTTAACATTCAGAAATTTCGAGGGATAAGGTAAGGAAAGGTCCCAGACCCAGTGGGCTTAGGTCTCGAATATGAAGAAATGTTTTGGTGCCATACCTCACCTTTGCAACACCAAGAAAAATTCAATTTTTTTCGATTGGACTCATAAACTAGATTAGAGCCTATAGTTTTTATTTTCCTGAAAATGTATTTCCGGAAGTTAAAATACATATTTTCCGGAAATACATAGTTTAATTCCCTTAAAGTATTTTGAGTAAATAATTCCGGAACTTTATTCTATTTTTAATCATTTCCGGAATACTATCATGCTTAATATTCCGGAAAATAACAACTTAGAATATACTCTTCCGGAAAACTTATAGACCCAATAAACCCAATAAAATAATAATATTTTAATAGATGATGGCATTAACCTGCCTTTTTCTTGCCGGAAAAGTAGAAGAAACGCCTAAAAAGTGCCGAGATTTGGTTCAAATGGCTAACGACAAATATCCAATACAATTTGCTGGAATAAATTTAATTGTTTGTTACTAGATAGAAATCCTATTTAATCTTTAATTATTTTTAAAGGATGAGTTAATTCTGCTTGAACGTATTTTGCTGCAATCAATTCGTTTTGATCTTCATGTTGAACACCCTGTGAGATTTTACTTTATTAAAATATTTCACGGAAAAGTTCCTTCATATTCCGGAAATAATGTGGGAAAAATTATTTTAATTATTTTCGGAAAGTAAAGTATTTTGGCACCTGTATATTAGTTATTGAAAATATGTATTTTCCGGAAGGCTATTTTCTGTTAATATTTTTTCCGGAAAATTGTATTTTGTAATATACACTCCGTTCCAAAAGTATATAGCCACCCAATTTTTTTTCTAAATCTCCAGCTAATTCAATTTTTAAATAGGTTATGATTAATTTGAAATATTTTTTAGACCCATTCTAAAGATTTGATAATGTAATTTTATGCGCTATGAAAATATACGAATAGAAATTAGGGGATATTTGACTTTACACAAAATTAATGCGTTCCAAAAGTATATAGCCACCTTAGTTTTATAGGTTTTCAATAGTGGTAAAAATCCACAAAAAAATTGTCTATTAATATTTTAAATAGTTTCCGGAAAAGTTCAGTATTAAGTATATTTTATTAAAATATTTTCCGGAAAATACAATTCAAGTTAAACTTTTTTTAGTATAACTTTCTGGTGCAATACGCAAAAGAATTTAAACTTGATAAGGATTATATGAGCAAAATTGTGGTAATAATATTTTTTTCATTTATTCCAAAAATAAACTTAAAGACAAATGCTTGGACTTTTATTAATGATTCATTAGCAACCAGTCTTTGTTTATTATACGAACCGGAAGTTATTGCTGTCGCTGTTCTTTATATGTCATTTAAAATGGAAAAAATTGCCACCCCGTTGTCTTTAGAAGGAGAGGAAGCAAAAATGGAGGAAGATACTGAATGGTGGAATATTGTGAATTTTTATTTTAAATTTAAAAATTAATTTTATTTCAAAGTATGTGCAAAATTTGGCAGTTAAAACGATGGAGGATATTTGTCATAAGGTACTAAAAACACAAAATTCCGGAATAGAAAATAATTCCGGAATATAACTATATTTATATTTCCGGAAAATGAATTATTCATGAAAACCAGAATTTTATTATAACTATAGTTTTAAAAATAATTATATGTCCTTGTATTTTCCGGAAAACTTTCTGTTAATACATAGGTATTTCCGGATAGTCGGATTTCCGGAATAACTACAGTTCTGAAAATAATTACCGTATTTACTCTATTAGAGCCCCATGGGGCTCTATTTTTCAACCTTCCTCCAAACGGGGGCTATATTAAGGAGGGGGGCTCTAATAGAGACGGGGGGCTCTATTTTTCAACCATGCTCGCAAAGGGGGCTTTATTAAGGGGGGGGGGCTCTAAGTGAGAGGGGGGCTATAATAGAGTAAATACGGTATATGTCTTTGTATTTTCCGGAAAGTATTTCCGGTTAGTCAGAATTCTGGAATAACTATAGTTATAAAAATACATGTATTTTCCGGAAGTTATTCTATTAAAATTTTAAGTACCCGGAAAATACACATGTATTGAAATATATTTATTCTGATCATTTTTTTATATTACTAAAAATATTATTCTGAATAATTTTTAGGTGTTGGACTGTGTGGAGGATGCAGGTGTAGAAGACATTGATGAAACGAGTAATTTGACTTATAATTAAAATTGTTATTTAGTTTGTTAAATTTGTTCTTTAATTGACAAAAGAAACAATTAGCCGAGGAATTAGATCATAATTTTTGATGGAATGGATTTGACAGGGCGTGAACAACTTTGCAATCAATGATTAAGTATTTCTGTAGGTTGAAAAGGAAGGGATTTTAGTTTTGGTTCAAGTAGTGTAGGAAAATGTGGAAGAGACCCAGCTTAGTTAATGTTTAAAACAGATTAGGGAGGGATATGTAAAATCTGTGAGAGAAAAAGCATAAAAACACCGCTCGATGGTTCAAAATAAATAGGGAAATTTTTTGACTTGCAAAGGGGATACACAGATAAATGTTGTAGAAAAGCTTAAATCTAATTTTTTTGTTCTTAACCCAAAATTTAAAAGTTTTCCGCCAAACAATAATAATTCGGATACAACAAGTAATGCGCCCATAGAACCGTCAGATTCGTCATCAGCGCTGTCAATTAATGGAACGTCTACAGAACAAATTGAACCGTCAACCGAAACAACAATACAACAGACCGGACCATCAAACGAGGAAACCAAATCAAGTGCACAAACAACAACAATTATCGCCATTTTTTATACGAATGATGAACAACAACAACAACCTTCTTCTACTACAAAGAAAACACCAACAACAACCATCGCCACAACAACTCAAGCAACGACAACACCGACTACAACAACGACAACGACCACCACCACGACAACAGCAACACCAACTGCAACCACGACAACGACTACCACCACGACAACGACAACCTACACGACAACAACAAAGCCAAAAAAGGAAGAAAAAAAGAAGAAACACAACAACAAACAACCACACATGATTTTTTAAAATTATATATAGGGCTGGGAATTGCCATTCCCGCCCTGGGACTGGCTGCTGGACTTGGAGTCGGCGCTTATTTTTATTTCAATTTAAATAAGCCGGGAGAATAAAAAGATTTGGAGATGCAGGATCTAGCGCCAGGTGGTGGTTCGCCTAAAACTGAAGGATCTGAGCTTGGCAAAAAATCAAAAGGCGCTGAAAGTGAAGTGAAGGAGAAAAGCTTATAAAAAATAAAACAAAGACCGAAGAGAAGGAAGAGTACGAAAAATTTGTTTTATTTTTTATAAGCTTTTCCCCTTCACTTCACTTTCAGCTCCTTTCGATTTTTTTGCCAAGCTCAGATCCTTAAGTTTTAGGCGAACCACCACCTGGCGCTAGATCCTGCATCTCCAAATCTTTTTATTCTCCCGGCTTATTTAAATTGAAATAAAAATAAGCGCCGACTCCAAGTCCAGCAGCCAGTCCCAGGGCGGGAATGGCAATTCCCAGCCCTATATATAATTTTAAAAAATCATGTGTGGTTGTTTGTTGTTGTGTTTCTTCTTTTTTTCTTCCTTTTTTGGCTTTGTTGTTGTCGTGGTGGTAGTCGTTGTCGTGGTTGCAGTTGGTGTTGCTGTTGTCGTGGTGGTGGTCGTTGTCTTTGTTGTAGTCGGTGTTGTCGTTGCTTGAGTTGTTGTGGCGATGGTTGTTGTTGGTGTTTTCTTTGTAGTAGAAGAAGGTTGTTGTTGTTGTTCATCATTCGTATAAAAAATGGCGATAATTGTTGTTGTTTGTGCACTTGATTTGGTTTCCTCGTTTGATGGTCCGGTCTGTTGTATTGTTGTTTCGGTTGTTTCTGTAGACGTTCCGACGGCGCTGATGACGAATCTGACGGTTCTATGGGAGCATGTTTGTTGTATCCGAAGTATTATTGTCTGGCGGAAAACTTTTAAATTTTAGGTTAAGAACAAAAAAATTAGATTTAAACTTTTCTACAACAGTTGTCTTTGTATCCCCTTTGAAAGTCAAAAAATTTTCCTCTTTGTTTTGACCCATCGAGCGATGTTTTTATGCTTTTTCTTTTAAAGATTTTACATATCCCTCCCTAATCGTTTTAAATATTAACTAAGCTGGATCTCTTCCATTTTCCTAAATTACTTGAAAACCAAAACTAAAATCCCTTCTTTTCAACCTACATAAATACTTAATCATTGACTGCAACGTTGTTCACATTATGTCAAATCCACTCCATCAAAAATTATGATCTAATTCCTCGGCTAATTGTTTTCCTTTGCCTAATACTTATTGTGTTACATGCTGATAATATTTATTAAAATATTTTGGCAATTTTTGGAATTGTTTGTTTAAAATAATTTATTAAAAAAATATCTCAAAAACTGATTCATTTAATTAAAATGATTTAAAATTGAAATTCTGTGCTTTCGGAAAAATTGAAAAATGTAAATAAAAATTAGGGTTGCAGGCCCGGTCCGGGCCGAAAATTCAAGTAGGGCTTCCAATTTTGGCCCGAAAAAGACTCGGTCGGGCCGGCCCGATAAAAATGAGGCCCGAAAAAATGACTTGAAAAAATATGGCCCGACTCGAAAACCCCAACCCCAATATAAAACAAACTATTATAAAAATTAAAAGAAAATTCCTTTCCTATTAAAATTAAGCAGAATAAGCATTCGATGTAACTCGTCTTCCTTTTCCTGTCCAATTTGTATGTAAAGCAATTCCTAGATTAGAAAGAAGTTGATAACAATGAGCACCAAAATAGTCACGCCTTAAATTTAAAATTTTTTTAAGAATTCCTTAAAATTAAAAAAAAACCCGTAATAAATTAGCTGGTAAAGCTTCAGAACGATAACAATCAAAAAATACATAATAAAAGCACTAAATGCAGGCAGTGGAATACCGGGTTGAACGGCAGTAGAGATGACTTCACATTAAGAATTCTAAAAATAAAAAATATTTTATTTAAAAATTTTTAGGTTTCGAAAAATTTTCAAAAAAATTTTGAAAAAATTTTTCAAAAAAATTCAAGAAATATCAAAAAAATTTTTTAATTTCCAAAAATAGCGAAAAAAAATTCAAAAAAATTAACCTGAGCATTCTTCATCTCATCAAGAAAGAAATCATCCAAAAGATCCAAAACGTTTTCTGTGCTTCGGCTCCATACCGGCATTGAGGCGTATTTTTATTGTCGCCTGTTGTTGTGGCTTATCTATTACGCCACAGTTGTCATCGATTCGGAAGTTATTTTCTATTTTATTACTCAGCCCCAACGCCCAGGCCACTTTCCTTCGCCCTACATTTCTTATGACAAGTTTGTAGGGCCTTTCCACGTCAAACGGCGCGTTAAAAACGAGGCGGCTGGCAGGCACAGTGGTGATTGGAGAAGGCAGAAGTTGGGCCATTATTGAAGTTAACCTAAATTTGGCTTTTATACTAGTCTTTAGACGTAACCCTAAGTAGGGCTCGGATTTTGTTTAAATAAATCACTGAAGCCTGCCCGCTAACTGTCTCTCTATTTTTTATCACATCTATCACTGGTCATTTCTGTGTGTCTTCTATTCGAACTCAATGGTCAGACACTGGTCAGTCAAGGCCTGTTCAGGACCAAGGCCGTTTTTGTGCCCTATTTAAATATTTTTTTTCCCTATTTAAATATTTTATTTAAATTTTGTGCCCTATTTAAATATTTAAATATAAATCCGAGCTCTACTTTTACGTTGTATTATAAAAGCCATTAGTTTGGGGTGAAAAAGCAATAAATTAATAAGTTGGGAAATAAAAATATTTTTAATTTGATGAAATTTCAACAAATTGGAAAAAATTCAAAAAATTTCATGAAATATTTATCGAAAAAAATTTTTAAACATAATTTCTAAAATATAATGTAACCCGTCTTCCTTTTCCTGTCCAATTTATATGTAAAGCAATTCCTGGATTAGAAAGAAGTTGATAACAATGAGCACCAAAATAGTCACGTTGTGCCTTTAATTTTAAAAGTTTTAAAATTTCTTAAAACTAAGAAAACCAGTAAGTAATAAACTACCTGGTAAAACGTCGGAACGATAACCATCAAAAAATGCTAATGCAGCAATAAATACAGGCATTGGAATACAGAGTTGAACAGCTGTAGAGATGACTTCACGCAAAGAATTCTTGAAAACTATTTTATTTAAAAATTTTTAGTTTTCGAAAAATTGCTAAAATTTTCAAAAAAATTCAAGAAATTTTAAAACATGAAAATCCAAAAAGAATTTTTCTAATTCCCAAAAATCGCAAAAAAATTTAAAAAATTAACCTGAGCATTCATCGCATCAAGAAAGTATACACTCTGTAACAAAATGATAGCGCCACCGAGTTTTTATCAATATCTCGCCAAATATGTAACGAATCTGTTTCAAATTTTGGTAGAATATAGGTAAGGATATTATGTATCAATAATGAAAGGAAAATGTTTAATCCAATTTTTTAAAAATACGTCTACCCCCGGTTTCCGTTGATTTTCGGATTTTCAGATCTCAATGAAGGAATTATATTGGAACTTCGTTTCTTTTGTATTTTCTATAGATATCAATAGATATATTTACAGGGATTTTTTTCAGATTTTTCGGACCACCCTTAAGGTTGAAAATACAGGTGGCGCTATCTTTTTGTTACACTTCAAAATCAAATTTATTATCATAAAATTTTTTTAAAAAATTGGATTAAACATTTTCTTTTCATTATTGATACATAATATCCTTACCTATATTCTACCAAAATTTGAAACAGATTCGTTACATATTTGGCGAGATATTGATAAAAACTCGGTGGCGCTATCATTTTGTTACAGAGTGTATACAAGTTTCGGACCAATTTGAATAGGATCAAAATCTTCTTTAGCCCTAAAGAGGGCTGTTTAGGATTGTGCTCTCAAGAGGGCATTTGATACCTGGCGCTCGACGCCAGCTTCTGCGGAACCTTTCTCCCTGGTTCGCAGGAATATTAAAGGTTACAAACCTTATATACAGACCTTCCTGTGGCTGAGAGGGCTCCCAGATTATACTGGTTCGGAGCTCTTCTTGCGGTCTGATCACACCGCATATATCAGCCACTCCAATTTTCTCACAAAAATTGGACTGAAATGCGAACGCCACTGGGCGTCGGCCTACGTTTTTGATAAGGAGCTCATGCGCTGTCTTAAATTGAATGGAACATTTATTACCATTAACAATTAAAATGATTACTTGTCTCAGGAAGTAAAATAAACCCTTGAGCATAACTAACACCTTTTGGAAGCATTAGGCCTTTAAAAATAAATTTTTAAGAAAAAGAAAATTAAAAAAAACCTGTCCAAGATTAGTAATAAATAAATTTATATACATAATAATTTCTTTAAATTTCTTTTATAGTCCAGATAGAACTAAAGTAGCACAAATACGTTGTTTCTTTAGAGATTGGCCTTAAACAACAGGCAAAAACTGCATCGGCTGAAAAAATAAAAATTATTTGAAATGGATGGGGGCTAGGCGGCGGAACGACTAACTCACGGAATGACTAAAACACGGAATATTTTAAAAATCAGAATATTTTTAGAAATCGGAAGTTTTCAGATTTTTTTAAATTCTATTTTTTAAAATTATTCAGACTCAATAAATTCCATTTTTTAAAATATTCCGTTTTGGTCATTCCGTGAGTTCGTAAGTACGTGACTTGTTCGTTCCGTGAGTTAGCCCGACACGATTTACAATAAAACTAAAATATACCAATTAAAGTAACAAGAATTCCATATTCAAGTTAGTATTAAACGATTCCTCTCATCGAGCAAAAGAGATTGGTACCAAAAATTGATAAAGGCCAGAAATTTTCCAGCAAGTTATGGCTTTGCGCCGTTATTGCCGCGCGACTATTTGGGCGTGTCCCTTTAAAGTTAATTTTATAATTTTTAAAAAAAATTTTTTTCTAAAAATTACAAAAAATTTTTTAAATAATTTGAAAGGGAAATATGTAAGACAAAATTTTTAAACAACCTTTTGAGCAGTGTCAAGTATTTTCGGCATTAATGGCTCTCCTTCTACATCACGATAACATAAAATAGTTGCAGTTTCTATCAGAAAAGAATCGAGTTCTCCTTTATTCCAATCCTCAAAAATCTTTAAAAGAATCAGTTAAAGAAAACTTTTACTTATAGGAGGTTTTTAATGAGTGAACGGTTATGGACGTATGAGGTGGAAAGGTGGGAGAAGTTTGTCCAGTACCTAGGGGCCTATTCCTTTTTAGCGATTCTCTGCCTAGAATGCCGCCCTATCCTCCGTAGCAACAACTAGCATTAATTCGGTTGATCATAATTTGACACGGCGATGAGTATGGTAGTCGAATCAGTTCGAGGAGCCCATAATAATAAGATATTATTTGTCCATCCACTCATTAAAAACTGAACTTATGCAGTTTGGGTACACACCCATTTATTCGCGAGACACATCCTCATTTATTAGGCGAATTGACTAACAACCCGTTTATTCGCGAACTAGCAAGAAGCCTATATTACAGCGTACTAAACAAAGCAGCTCTCGACTCTATCGAGACGCGTGATGGTTAACGCTGCATGATCCGAGGAATTATGCCCAAGCGTTTTCCCGACCTCAATATGGTTACTTTGACCATTTTTAGCATGCGAATAAATGGGGTGTGTACCCAAACTGCAAAAGTTCCTTAAAAACCCCCTATAAGTGAAGAAGTACCCTAGTTTGTTTAGAATTTATCAAAAAAAAACCTCAGCCATTTTTGTAAAATCAATTCCCCTTTACTCATTACACGGAAAGCTTCACAAATTAATTGCAGATGGCCATACTCGATTCCATTTATGATCCATTTTAACAAAATGCCTAGAACCTTCAATCCCCACCCATTCACAATATGGAAGGCCCGTGTCCGGTAGTTTCGTCAGAGGTTAGTTTCGTCAGAGAACAGTTTCGTCAGAGGGTTTTTTCGTCAGAGATTTGTCTCGTCAGAAGGTAATTTCGTCAGTAAGGCTCCCTTTTTAAAAATCTGATTAAACGGCGGTTTTTGACTTATACTAGGTTTTTTGTTTCTGGATCGATTTGAAAAAATGAGGTGTCAATCGAAAGAGCTCTGAAAACTGAGTCGAACTTGTTGTGGAAAAAGTTGAATTTTAAATTTCTGAACCGAGTTACAGACTCCTGAATATTGAAAATAGTGTAGTGAAGCTCAGTTGTCGAACCGATTCAACTCTTCGAGCTGAGTCGGAAAAATCAGCTTTCCCAGAAATCACAAAAATCAGCTTTTCTAAGCTCTTTGAATGATACCTCATTTGTTCAAATCGATCCAGAAACAAAAAACCTAGTATAAGTCAAAAACCGCCGTTTAATCAGATTTTTAAAAAGGGAGCCTTACTGACGAAATAGACTTCTGACGAGACTGATCTCTGACGAAACAACCCTCTGACGAAACTGTTCTCTGACGAAAATGTCCTCTGACGAAACTAACCTCTGACGAAACTACAGGGCACCGGAAGGCCATCTGGGGCTTTTGCTACGATTCCTTGAAAAATTTGGTTTTAAACGTTCCCAAGCTTCTAGAGAACCACCAGGCATTAAAGAAGGCTGAAAAAATAAGTAAAATTGGATGTCAGAGAAAAACACGTCGGCGCGCGGCCATGTAGGCGCAAAGTCATAATTTGTTTCAAAATCTCGGGATCTTATTAAATTTAGTATTAAACGATTCCTCTCATCGAGCTAAAGAGATCGTTATCAAAATTGTTAAGGGCAAGAGATTTTTCAGCTAGTTATGGCTTTACGCCCACATGGCCGCGCGCCGAAGTGTCCCTTACCTTTTGTATTTGTCCCCCCATTTCATTATGCTCCTCATCAAATAAATCAAAGTCAAAATTCTCAGCTTCTGGTCTAATTAATTTATTTAATAAATTAAATAAAAATCCTTACAATAGAAATCTCCAATAATTTTTCACGAGCAAGTTCGTATTCAAAATTATTAATAAAATCACGAAAATATAAATTTTTTTGTTTAATTGAACATATGTAATTGCTGATAGTTGAAGAATTTAAAAACATCCAGTTTTGTCTTTGTTGGTAAAGAATAAAGCATTTTTGAGGAAAGTTTAAATTTAGCACTAAAAATCTAGGAGCTAGAGATCGGAATTTTGAAAAAAACGGGACCGGGAACCGGGTTCTGAAGGTCGACCGGGAGGGACCCGGACCGGGAAAACCGGGAATTCCCGATCCCGGTTTCATCCCGGCATCTTCAAAAAAGCCGGGAAAAAGGACCGGGAAACCGGGAAACGGGACCGGGTCCCGATCCCGTTCCGATCTCTACTAGGAGCGAGCCATTTGAGTACCGCCAGTTGAGTACCCGCCGAATTTGATAGGATATAACTTTTTGCTGCTTGATCCAATACGAATGAATCTTATATCTTTCGAAAGCCCTCGATAAGCGCTATCTTTTACCCAACTGGATGGATCATGTCTGATCGCCCAATAAAAAGTTACAAGTCGATAAGTGCCCGAAATCGTTGTTTTTCACTATTATCGACTTGTAACTTTTTATCGAGTGATCAGACAAGATTTATCTGGTTAGACAAAAGATAGTGCTTATCGAGGGCTTTCGAATGATATAAGATTCATTCGGATTTGATCAAGCAAAAAAACAAAAAAACATGGCCCTGAATTTGTTCGGACCCGTTTTTAAGTCAATAATTTTAAAAAAAAATTTAAATAAAATCCTCTTATCACGAGTACTTGTACAAATCAATTCATTAAATTAAAACATTTTTTGCCAACTATCTTGTCGATTTTTGAGAGGACGGACAGTCTTTCGTAAAAATCCGTCTAAAAAAATTTTGAGCGCGCGCACCCTTAAAATTTTAAAAATTTTTTAAAGGGCAAAAATAAATATTTTTCAACGCTATTTTAATTTTCTTTTTCTCTAATTTGATAAAAAATACAAAAAATTATCTGGAAATCAATTCTTTGTGGCAATAAATTCGATAAATTTTGCCAGTCCATTTAACGGCCTCTTCTCAGCCCTCCATATATATACAAGTATCAACCCCCCTAATTTAACCAGTTTACTCAAAAAAATTTTTAAAATCACAACCCGTCCTTTAAAAGAAATTTTCTTTAATATAGAAATGCGTGAAAAAGCAAAATTTTTGTTAATTTTTGCTTTGATTCTCGCTTCGAATTTTAGTGTTGGCGTTGTTGCGAATGGTTTTGATAAAGGTATTAATATTTAAAACCGTTTGTGGACACCCTTGGTTAGCTCCAAGAGGCCTGTTTTTATTCAAGTTTCCCT